ACTTAGAAGACAGGATTTTGAGAGATGTGGGTTTTATGGTAGTCATAGTGATCTAATTTAAATAAAAAAACAAATTAAAAATTAAGGTCGATTAGGGTTGGGGTAATTTTACATGTTGATTTCGTTATTTTACCCAGTACGTTGTTCTCATTTGAGAACACGACATTACTCACTACACTGGACCAAGATTTGCATGAAGGTATTCATCGATGAAACAGAAGACGCTTACTCTTTTGAACACCTGGTCTTATTCTCTTTATTCTTTTCTCATGAGTTCTTTTATCCGAATTTGCCATAGTTATATAGAATTCGGGTTTAAATGATGATAGTCCGATAGTAATTGTGTAGTGTTTTAGTCGACAGTAAATGTCCGATAGTAATTGTGTAGTGTTTCAGTCGTCCGTAAATGTCCGATAGTAATTGTGTAGTGTTTTAGTCGACCGTAAATGTCCGATAGTAATTGTGTAGTGTTTTAGTCGACAGTAAATGTCCGATAGTAATTGTGTAGTGTTTTAGTCGACCGTAAATGTCCGATAGTAATTGTGTAGTGTTTTAGTCGACCCTAAATTTCCGATAGTAATTGTGTAGTGTTTTAGTCGTCCGTAAATGTCCGATAGTAATTGTGTAGTGTTTTAGTCAACCGTAAATGTCCGATAGTAATTGTGTAGTGTTTTAGTCAACCGTAAATGTCCGATAGTAATTGTGTAGTGTTTTAGTCAACAGTAAATGTCCGATAGTAATTGTGTAGTGTTTTAGTCAACCGTAAATGTCCGATAGTAATTGTGTAGTGTTTTGGTCGACAGTAAATGTCCGATAGTAATTGTGTAGTGTTTTAGTCGACAGTAAATGTCCGATAGTAATTGTGTAGTGTTTTAGTCGTCCGTAAATGTCCGATAGTAATTGTGTAGTGTTTTAGTCGACAGTAAATGTCCGATAGTAATTGTGTAGTGTTTTAGTCGTCAGTAAATGTCCGATAGTAATTGTGTAGTGTTTTAGTCGACCGTAAATGTCCGATAGTAATTGTGTAGTGTTTTAGTCGACAGTAAATATCCGATAGTAATTGTGTAGTGTTTTAGTCGTCCGTAAATATCCGATAGTAATTGTGTAGTGTTTTAGTCGTCCGTAAATGTCCGATAGTAATTGTGTAGTGTTTTAGTCGTCCGTAAATGTCCGATAGTAATTGTGTAGTGTTTTAGTCGACCGTAAATGTCCGATAGTAATTGTGTAGTGTTTTAGTCGACAGTAAATGTCCGATAGTAATTGTGTAGTGTTTTAGTCGACCGTAAATGTCCGATAGTAATTGTGTAGTGTTTTAGTCGACCGAAAATGTCCGATAGTTATTGTGTAGTGTTTTAGTCGTCCGTAAATGTCCGATAGTAATTGTGTAGTGTTTTAGTCGACCGTAAATGTCCGATAGTAATTGTGTAGTGTTTTAGTCGACCCTAAATGTCCGATAGTAATTGTGTAGTGTTTTACTCGTCCGTAAATGTCCGATAGTAATTGTGTAGTGTTTTAGTCGTCCGTAAACGTCCGATAGTAATTGTGTAGTGTTTTAGTCGACCGTAAATGTCCGATAGTAATTGTGTAGTGTTTTAGTCGACCGTAAATGTCCGATAGTAATTGTGTAGTGTTTTAGTATAGTAATTGTGTAGTGTTTTAGTCGTCCGTAAATGTCCGATAGTAATTGTGTAGTGTTTTAGTATAGTAATTGTGTAGTGTTTTAGTCGTCCGTAAATGTCCGATAGTAATTGTGTAGTGTTTTAGTCGTCCGTAAATGTCCGATAGTAATTGTGTAGTGCTTTAGTCGTCCGTAAATGTCCGATAGTAATTGTGTAGTGTTTTAGTCGACCGTAAATGTCCGATAGTAATTGTGTAGTGTTTTAGTCGACCGTAAATGTCCGATAGTAATTGTGTAGTGTTTTAGTCGTCCGTAAATGTCCGATAGTAATTGTGTAGTGCTTTAGTCGTCCGTAAATGTCCGATAGTAATTGTGTAGTGTTTTAGTCGACCGTAAATGTCCGATAGTAATTGTGTAGTGTTTTAGTCGACCGTAAATGTCCGATAGTAATTGTGTAGTGTTGTAGTCGTCCGTAAACGTCCGGTAGTAATTGTGTAGTGTTTTAGTCGACCGTAAACGTCCGATAGTAATTGTGTAGTGTTTTAGTCGTCCGTAAATGTCCGATAGTAATTGTGTAGTGTTTTAGTCGTACGTAAATGTCCGATAGTAATTGTGTAGTGTTTTAGTCGTCCGTAAATGTCCGATAGTAATTGTGTAGTGTTTTAGTCGACCGTAAATGTCCGATAGTAATTGTGTAGTGTTTTAGTCGACCGTAAATGTCAGATAGTAATTGTGTAGTGTTTTAGTCGACAGTAAATGTCCGATAGTAATTGTGTAGTGTTTTAGTCGACAGTAAATGTCCGATAGTAATTGTGTAGTGTTTTAGTCGACCCTAAATGTCCGATAGTAATTGTGTAGTGATTTAGTCGTCCGTAAATGTCCGATAGTAATTGTGTAGTGTTTTAGTCGTCCGTAAATGTCCGATAGTAATTGTGTAGTGTTTTAGTCGACCCTAAATGTCCGATAGTAATTGTGTAGTGATTTAGTCATCCGTAAATGTCCGATAGTAATTGTGTAGTGTTTTAGTCGTCCGTAAATGTCCGATAGTAATTGTGTAGTGTTTTAGTCGACCGTAAATGTCCGATAGTAATTGTGTAGTGTTTTAGTCGACAGTAAATGTCCGATAGTAATTGTGTAGTGTTTTAGTCGTCCGTAAATGTCCGATAGTAATTGTGTAGTGTTTTAGTCGTCCGTAAACGTCCGATAGTAATTGTGTAGTGTTTTAGTCGACCGTAAATGTCCGATAGTAATTGTGTAGTGTTTTAGTATAGTAATTGTGTAGTGTTTTAGTCGTCCGTAAATGTCCGATAGAAATTGTGTAGTGTTTTAGTATAGTAATTGTGTAGTGTTTTAGTCGTCCGTAAATGTCCGATAGTAATTGTGTAGTGTTTTAGTATAGTAATTGTGTAGTGTTTTAGTCGTCCGTAAATGTCCGATAGTAATTGTGTAGTGTTTTAGTCGTCCGTAAATGTCCGATAGTAATTGTGTAGTGTTTTAGTCGTCCGTAAATGTCCGATAGTAATTGTGTAGTGTTTTAGTATAGTAATTGTGTAGTGTTTTAGTCGTCCGTAAATGTCCGATAGTAATTGTGTAGTGTTTTAGTCGTCCGTAAATGTCCGATAGTAATTGTGTAGTGTTTTAGTCGTCCGTAAATGTCCGATAGTAATTGTGTAGTGTTTTAGTCGACCGTAAATGTCCGATAGTAATCGTGTAGTGTTTTAGTCGACAGTAAATGTCCGATAGTAATTATATAATGTTTTAGTCACATGTTAATGGGCGACAGGATCCCTCATTTCGTGTGGATTTGTATAAATCGTTGGTTTAGATTACAGATTGACAATTAAATGGAAAACTCGTGTAGATATAATTTAATAGCTAGTACAGGGGTATTAAAATTTAGAATTCATTTCCGAGACAGAATGACACTTTCATCTGATGTTTACGTACATATAGTGTATATATAATGAATGTCTGTGCACCAAGGTTGATCACTTGTTGCATTCATTGAAGAAAACACTTTGAATTACAAGTGAAAATAATATTCAGTCTGTATCTGATAGATCTACATGTGTTCGACAAATAGATATAAAAACTCAATAAGAAAATCTACTTAGCTGTATTCTTGTGTATTTATAAAATTCATTAACTCTATCAAACACTATCGATAACTCGTTCCTAAATTTAGATCATCATTGATAGACGCGCACAACTTGCGCACAAATATGCGATAGTTGAATTCGTTCTGTTTCATCTCGCTTACATCACGTGCATATCGTGTGCAAATCGTGCAAAGATCTTTCGGTCATCGCACACATTGTAAGGTTGTGCGATACCACATCTGTGAAAATGGAAAGGACGAAAGTATTTTGTCTTCTGCAACCGCCAAATAACACGGACACACGAGGCTAATATACTTCAGCTAGCAATTTTTATCCGTGGAACTATCAGACCTAGAAACATCTATCATAGACGAAGTGATATAAGAAATAGCTTCGTCAATCAGGGTATATTCTATTCACCATAATGCAGACGCTAATGGTATAGGAATGTTTACTCTGAACATGTATAATAATAGTTTATTGCATTGCTACATGTATTTGTTTTAACTTTTGTAAATAAAGAATCCGGTAAAGAAATTCCCTATGCCTGTATATGTTGTTGGGTGGTCACAAACAGTACAATTTTGCGTGATTTTATCATCATCATAGCTCTCTAGATTTCGATTTTAGACTACGTCAATCTGTTCCGACTGTCATCCGCTGATACACTAGGTCTGTCAGGTAATGAAGGTCCACACTGAGCAATCAGTCATGTGTGTACCGATGGCAGGTAAGTAGCCGGTGTAGACAGGCCCTTCAGAAGTTAGCAATTATGTTCACATGGTGTAGTCACACACCCACTTACAAATATAGATATGTGATCAATGTTACTTTCAAAAGTTTGGTTTTGAATAAGTTTTAAGTGCCGTATGAATGTTACTGGTGTATTAATCGTGAGTTCAATCCAAGTCGCGGCTGAGTGATTAACAGGTGCTCTGTTGCAGCCAATCACGTCTAAAAACAGATCATTATACAAGGGCATGTTTACGTGTTTACATCACACGTTTCAATAAACAAATGTGCGCACAGGAGTTGTTGACATTGCACCAATCGTTTTCGTCTGATAAGTAACGACCGTTTTATTAGAAATTCCAAGGTCATCTCATTTAAAAATGTTTTTTTTTTCTAGTTATACAATCACATGTTCACGTGTTAACATATCCATGTCAAGATTATATTTTCCTGTATGTGTTTATGAGGATACATATTTTTTCTGGTCTGTTCACGTGACGGTCAACACAGTTTATATAAGATACGCCGAAATGGAATAAAACAGTCTCGATATGGCCACCACGACCATGAAAAGCATCCTGTGTATGTTTTATTTTCTTGTTTGCACTCTCATCAACGTATTTCAAAACATTGTCACACCTAATTGTGCTCCGGACGTGCAAGTCTGCAGGCTGGAATGGACAATTGACTACAAGCAAACAATGACTTATTACGGATCTGACGGAATTGGACACCCAATAGTGTCCAACAATGGAACCTTTCGCCTCAGGGACACATGTCAAACATCCAAACCAACGACAGAAAAAGGCACGTATATCTTAAAATTAATTCCATGCATTGAACATCGACAAGGTCTTTCTGAAGAACTTAAGGATGTGATTCACGAACATGTAGAATGGCTCTGGGCATGTTAGATTTCTCACAAACTGACTTTATACTATTTCGTTCATGTCCATTTCAGCAGTTTCATTAAGTATCTTTCCATTATCCAGTCGTAAACATTTACCTTTATAAAATCAATACTTTTTACTTTTAACACATTTTATTATATATTTCACTTTATATCGATGAGTAATTTAGATTTATTTTACATCATTTTTATATCATTTATATTGTTTGAGAATTTTATGTAGGTGTGAAGGTTGTTTACTTCTGTCAAAATATGCACCCTTAGGTTTGGATTTTATGATATTAATCCAGTTTGAGATTTCCTACAACCGATGATCATACGGACATAAAAACTTGCTGGTAACAATTTTACAAAGCAGTTTAAGTATCCAGTACGCTCTTCCAAGATCTGACTTAATGGATAAATCACAGTAAATGCTTAGTTCATAATGTCATTTGTATTAATTACCAAAGTAACAAAGGCAACAAGTTGAACTTGAGAACGCTCTAAAATTATATTTAACAATATTAGATATTTTAATCAGAGCTCTCCTAATAAAGGTAAAGGTTATTTCTATCAAATCATTTTTATCAAAAGAATAAATATAATTAGGCCACAGACAATGCCTATACAAGCCCTCTCAAGTTTTAATATAGTTTTAAACATATTAGCTTTGGCTAGGATCTATAAGAAGTACTATTTAAATTAATTTCCATTTTTTGATAGACAACGTTTTAACATACACATGAACATAGGTGGATGTAAAATCAGAATGCGGTAATTTACCGCCAATATGCACGCATGCAAGCAAATACTTATGATTATGAAAAATATTGATATTTACAGTTATACAAATAACATCATTTGTGTTACCATGTAATTAGGCAAATAGATAGTATCATCAGTATGACATAAAATAAATTATCATGCTTATTATACTAATTAGCCACTCATCACCCATCCCAATCTAGAGACCTTAATCGGCAACGATAAAGATCCAAGGGTGAAATGTTTGGTCTTTTGTGTATAAATAAGACTTTGTTGAAAACTATTGACTATAATATGTATTGCTATCATGTCAGCCTACAAATACAAATTTGGACCTGTTATATTTACTGGCAGCAACATATTAAGTTTCATATCTAATTCACAAAATTATCAATACTTGCAATTTGCATGCATGCTCAAACATTTTCTAACTTCGGAGGGTATTACGGTAATAACTAGAAGACGTAGAATTTTTAAGAACAAATAGTCATACAAATTGTACATTGAGATCTAACAAGGACTCTGGCTTATGAAACTGCACTATGTGATTCTATTAAGTTAAGCGATTGGAAAACACTCTGTCATAAAGGATGAGATGCAAGAATAATATTGACATTGGCAACTGTGATGCAGTTTTGCTCTCTGTCATAAATAAACATAATGAATGGAGTTCGTTAGTCACAAAACTACATTTTAATGTATATCTACAATGAGGAATTGTCTATATAAATATATAAACAATGTTAGTGTCAACTTGGGAAAATACGCACAACGATGTATGTTATGTACTTCGGCTTTTTATCTATAAATTTTAAGAATCAGATTTTTTATCTCGGATTTTCTTTCACATCATTATTTTGTTTTACTTACACATGTTTTTGTTTGTCGAGCTAAAGTTGTCAATCGTCACCATAAACAAGTAAATTGTTTGTCGAGCTAAAGTTGTCAATCGTCACCATAAACAAGTAAATTGTTTGTCGAACTAAAGTTGTCAATAGTCACCATAAACAAGTAAATACCAGTCTCTTAATCACCGTTTACAAGTTCAAGTTTACAAGTTTAATTATTCCAAATGCAATACAGCATATAGGATACAAATATACAGAATTAATTGTGTCAAATTCGTAAGTTATGTACAAGATGGCGGAGGACAATTCTATTCGAAGACATAATTATGTACAGACGTTTCATTCATTACAGCATGGCAGAAATACTGTAGCAAATATTCGAAAACAAACAACATAGCAATAAACATGACGTTATGAAATTTGGTAACACAATTGCAACACCACTACAGAAACTACATTATCCAAAAATACACGAAGGGTTGATTTAAAGTATTTTTTCAGTATGCAATTCACAAAAATTAAAAGTCTATTACATTTAATCCAACAACAGTAATTTTCCAGAAATTATTCCAACATAGTAACAATTATTGACCGAGGAAAGTTTTTCTTTTAGTTGTAGCATGCAAAAGATATTTACCAAGTTTGTTTAAAACCTTCACACTTTTACAGGAAAATGATTGTATTAGTTTATAGACACTTGGATGGCGATAATAGTATTTTTTAATGTATCTACTTCTTAAATCAGAATATGTAGGACAAAGTAGTATAAAATGTATTTTATCCTCGATATCATATTGATCACAAACTGTACAAATTCTCTGACTTCTTGGAATGTTATTATAACGACATGATTCAATGTTAAGATTGTGTCCTTGCATGCGAAATTGACTCAGTAATTGTTTTAATCTAACATTAATGGGCTTACTAAGGTGAAACTGAATACCACATATATCCACAAGATGATTGTACAGATAACATTTGGAAGATACATCAAAACCACTTCGTAACTCTTGAATAAATACGTCATGCACACGTTGTGTGTACATTTGCAAAAAAGTATTGTCATTTTGTTTCCGTATTAAGGGGAAAATCGTTCATTTTCCTTTTTAAATGGTAATATGCTTTTCTACCTGGACATGCTAATGTACTTTGTGCAACAGTAAATCTTCCATTTTAATTAAAAACTAAACAAAGATCACAAAATTTATCAACTATTTCGATAGATTTACCATTAAAAGTCCAACTTTCAAAAGGCAAAAGTCGTGTTCCTTTTCTAAAGACAACAATCTTTGTTTTGTCTGTATTGACATTTAAATTCCATTTTTCAGTATACGTTTGTAATTTATCTTACACATGCTGAAGATCGGTAGCGTCCTTAGTGAATGAAACTGTGTCATCCCCATACATTAGCATAAAACGGTTAATCAATTGTGATACATAACTTTGACAGTTAGAATTTATAGATTCATTTTCCATATCATTTACAAATAACAAAAAAGCATCGGCGACAAAGATTCACTTTGTAATAAATCGATATGTATATCAAACATAGCGGACAATTTAAAATGAACATGAACGTACATTGTTATAAATTGATTTAATTACGAACGTACATTGTTATAAATTGATTTAATTACGTTAAGTAATCGTCCTCTTATACCGCTTTTCCATAGTTTATACCACAAAATCTGGTGTGATACACTATCAAAAGCCTTGTTATAATTAACTAAAGCACCATAAAGCCTTCTATTTTGTAAAACTGTCCGGATATAAACGTTAATAATAAACAAGGATTTGTTGAAGACAAGTGAACAGTTGTTATAATAAATAACAATTGCTGATTTTTTTTATCGTCGGAGAAAGATTGTATTTCTGAGTTGTTAGAATTATCATAATTAACCTAAATTTCATTATATTTATAACTACGGACTGGTTTAACGTGAAATGTTCATGTACATTAACATAGAATATTATAGTTTTGAGCTTTCGAGGTCAATTCACAAATCTAGAGCACTGAACACAATGTATAATGACAGAAGTACATGTAACACCTGGTTGTCTTTTCCAGTTATCTTAATGTTTCGTTTCACACGAGTGAATCGTTTGCGTGTTGTTGCCAACAATTTACGAAAATGTAACTATTTTGTTTTAACGGTATACACGTACTTTTCCGTTTTTTTTTTTATGTAATTTTTTGTCTGGAGAGTGATTCGTTAAGCATTCCCTGTTTTTGACGGTGCCATTTTCAAATGTGTTATGAGGACTCCAAACATGTTCAATGTTAATAATAATAATGATAATAATAATAATAATAATGATAATAATAATAATAATAATAATAATAATAATAATAATAATAATGATAATAATGATAATAATGATGATAATAATAATGATAATAATAATAATAATAATAATGATAATAATAATGATAATAATGATAATAATAATGATAATAATAATAATAATAATAATAATGATAATAATGATAATAATAATAATGATAATAATAATGATAATAATGATAATAATAATAATAATAATAATAATAAGGTGATGAAGAAGAAAAAGAAGCACTTGCAGGAAATGTTAAGATGGCATTCTGCATTTTCAATTATTTGGGTTTTTTTCGCCGAGTGAAACAAAAGTAAAACGTTTCCGATGGTGTCGTCAACCTTTGTGTTTGATTAAAATTTGGACTTAATTAATTGTGATATGGTTAAGGTGTTGCGCCCAGTTCCAAATTGAGTATATAAGCTTTATTCAGGAAATTTTTAATATACTTATATCTATATATAAAACCATGAAAACACATTTCAGATTTAGAATTTCACCTAAAATTTAATGTAATTTTGGACTTGTTAATTGATTGGGCCATGTTAGTGTTCTCTGTTAAGCTCGATGTTTAGTTACATTTAAGTATTTAAGCTGTCACAACCAAACCTGGAATTAATCTTTGTGTGATTATCTACATATTCCTATTTTAACTACAGTTTACTGTCAATTAATTGACTTAAATGTTTAAGTTTTCTAGTTAGCTTGGTTTTGAACTTTACTCATCTGAAAGTATTGGTGCTATCATAACAAGTTCTCGAATATATATATATAATCACTCCAACGCACTTTTATATAATCACTCCAACGCACTTTTATATAATCACTCCAATGCACTTTTCGGATTCCCTTTTTCACTTAAATCTTACTGTTGGAATTTGCTGATTTAATAGGCTTTGTTGAGCTTCTTTCTAAGTAATTCAGCTATCATAACTAAACCTGATTTATATCTAGATATGAGCATTCCAACACACATTTCACATATCCTGATTTTCAACTACATCATTGCTGTTAATTTGATAAATCAATAGAGTTAGATTTTAAAGATTTGGTTTAACACAGTGTTGAGCTTTATTCCTCTTAAATCATTTACGCTGCCATAGCCAACCCTGGAATGTATCTTTATCTATCAATGATCACTCCAACACAATTTCAGGTTCTGAACTTTCATCTACATTAAACAGTTAATTAGGGCCCGTCACATTGTGACGAAAGTCTTGCAGTGGACTCACTGTCAGTCCGTGTGTCCGCCAAAAACACACCTTGTGTCGTTGTTTACCAATGTTAAAGGGTGTGTCAACTGCCAAATTCTTAGTTATTTTCTAAGGTTAAGTTCTCAAACTTATGACATTTCATTGTTCCGTTTATGATTGGCTGCAAACAGTCGAAATCACATGTTCAGTGAAATGACTTAAGTTTGTATGACTATTCATATCTTATTTGCTTCCATCTTGAACCACTATTCATAACTGTTTTTATCAAATTTATATAAATAAATTGATATACAGATAGTTTAAGGGGAAAAGTGGATTTTTAACATTTTAAAAACCAGGCTATTGCATTAAATATAAAGGCTGATGGATTTGGATTAAAGAAGAATATCTTCAGTTCACAGAGAGAGAAAAAGTAACTTAGAGAGATAAGGGACAGCATAGTTACATAATTATTTGATCGGTATAAATATTACATATAATTTGTTAAGTTCATTAGAACAAAATATAATACAGAAATAATTGGAACAGCATATTTTTTCTTTTACTTTTTTTTTTTAAAAAGTTTAACATTTGTTGTGTTTTCCATCATCTGAGTTATACTTGTCACTGAATATATTTGAATAATCTTTGATTGCAAATATTAGTCTCATAGAGCACGGGAAGATCAAACCGTAACATCAACAAGTTCTGCTAAGCATTTCAGTTGTAGTAACGCGCAAACGCACCAAACCCTCCTTGTGCATACCGTGCGTGCATCGCCAGCACATCGTGCATACATCATCCGCACACACCCTCTAGACAACTGTGCGATAGGATCGTGCATTTTGTGCGGTTTGGTAAAAACGGTTGACTTATATTACGGATTGAAAATTAAACGGAAAACTCGTGCAATTAGGACCAAATAACGATCACAGGCATATCAAAATGATCAATGATTATAAGGGTTGATTTTAGTTCGACAAGTTTCGAAATGTCAGTGAACCCGGCGCTAGTTAGTCATATACGTGACAGTTCGTAGCGATTATGTCTGCCGTGTAACCAGCATAATACATTTTATCGGAGTAAACGCTAGATAATTGGGAGTAATTACAGAAGTGATGACAATAAAATAATTTTATGATGGTGTGAGATTTTAGATGATACATTGTCGAGAAAAAAAGGTCCATTTCAAGTGTACTTTTCTGATACATATAACGATCGCTGTACGCTTAGACTTGTCATGTGCACATCCTGTAGACATTGTTAACACGTCTTAAACTTTGTAATGTTGTTTGATCCCACAACTTTATTGTCCCTAGAAAGCTAATGTCGCCTTATTTTGCATGAAAATGCCCAAATGTTTCAATAACATAAGTTAAATAGGAACTAAAATGAATAGCTATATTTGTCTTTGTAGAAGAACATGTAAACATATTAAATAATTACACATCCCTCACTGCACATGCTCGTGTATTATTTAAATAAAGGCTAATCCCAACCCATACCAGTGTCCACACTATATATTCAATAAGTATGATAAGACTGATACTAAATCATTGAACACTTGAGTATTGCAATCGGATATACCTTACGCCTAGCTGACACCAAAAGACAAAGCAACCCATGCATTTGTAAATGGAATTTATACAACACGTTCAATACAGCAGTATGATTTTAAGGCGGAACTTGTGTAAGATTAGGATGCAAATTTCGTGTAAGTTATATTCCCAAATAAAATAAAAAAGATTTTCCGACAGGTTGCCGATCATGACTTCTTTCAAACAGGTATATTTTTTCGATCCCGGATGAGATATTCTTGGTTGATCTAAACAGCTACATGTTTATTGAGGCTAGTGGAAATATATTTACGTATTTCGTTTAGAAATCACGCAAACTACGAAAATAAATAGATAGAGACCAGAAAACTAGTCAGTCACTAATAAAATTTGTTACCTGAGCACGATCGGGGTATCTCAGCAGAGACTGATATCTTGTAACATTAATCGCAACCGAGGAGTTACAATACATAAGAACCATTATTATTAATTGGATATAATATTCTGACATGTTCCCATAAAATATCATTATTTTCTGGTTAGTATGGATTATAGAGGTCTATGTTTCATCAAAATGACTTCACGAATGTTTAACATAACTTTTGTTGCTAGAAACTATCTTCCCGAATCTAACTTAGATTACTTGTGTGTACAATGGATACATTCATTCAGGTGAAAAAAATTAGTTTTATATATTTGTGTTCCAAGGTTACAGTTATGACATAATGTTTTGATGACTTCAGATAAAAAAAATATGTAGACGATAGGTATCTTTGCGCCACTTACAGATGTAAAGTGAAACTGGTGGCTATTTATATTTCTCAACTGAAAAAGGAACGACATTGTCAGGTGCTTTAGCGTGCTCTAAAATCAGCACTGTACAGCAAAGCTGTAAAAATAATTCGGAGGATAGGTGCTTTTTTAAACCCTACCTTTGTGAGAAAACGATGCTCTTTCGAACAGACGACACCACATAACGAACATTCTGTGTGTAATACTAATGAAATCTCGAGTACCTAATTGCGTAAATAATTAACTGTCGAAATAAGTAGATTTACCATAAGCCAGATAAATGTCATTTTTCCTGCAAATATATGTAACATATAGGGGTCCTAATTACAGCTATTCCTTCATACCAGCAAGAGGACTTCGTCATTTACAATACTTGTGCAGTTATGTAAAGTAAAAGATTGCTCTATATCTGAGCAAAATAATTTCTTGTAAAAGTTATTGAGATTTTTTCAGACTTGGAAAATGTATTACTGACCGATGGACTCCACAAATTGATCTACACAATCAATGGACAGTATCCTGGACCAACCGTCGTGGTGTATCAAGGACAACAGGTTAGATTTCCGAAGAACTTAGTTCAAACATTGAAACTTTCTTTGTGTGATATGAAACTGTTTGATGCTCGTTAGTTTGTCTGTGGGTTCTGTTGTACGATATGAAACTGGACGTGTTTGATGCTCGTTAGTTTGTCTGTTGGTTCCGAAGTATGATATGAAGCTGGACGTGTTTGATACTCGTTAGTTTGTCTGTTGGTTCCGAAGTATGATATGAAGCTGGACGTGTTTGATGTTCGTTAGTTTGTCTGTTGGTTCCGTTGTACGATATAAAGCTGGACGTATTTGATGTTCGTTAGTTTGTCTGTTGGTTCTGTTCTTTTATACATTACTAACTTGGATTGACCAAAGTTTACATGGCGGGTGCCGTCGATGAAGTAGAAGAAGTTTGTCTTTCGGAACACCTGGTCTTATTCCCCTTGTACATTTTCGGTATTCTCCGTGTAAATCTTTCTTTGGCTTTAGTTTTATTGATGTTTATTATAGCAATAATGTACCATCATTAAAGCATATGTATTGCCTATTTTCGAATATTACCACAGTTTATCGATCGTTAGTTACCTTAAAAATGACTAAACGTAAAGTACATACAGGTACTTGTATGTGTGCATAGGAAAACATCGTATAACTTATTCATTTCGGGTTTCTCTTTACTTTAATTATGTTTATAATCACATAGATTGAGGGGATTTCCTTGTATGTAGGTAGAGGTGGTGGTGAAGAACAAACTACTTTCGGAGGGCGTCACAATACACTGGCACGGCCTTATACAACGGGGGACACCGTGGATGGACGGCGTCGGATCACTGTCACACTGCCCTATCAATCCAATGGAAACGTTCGTTTATAGGTGAGAATCAAACTAATTAATACAATACCTAAATATTGCCATTTTAGTATGCTTACCTCTAGCAGCCAATGCCTGTTGTACCCCAAATCAACCTGATGAACATTAGAACACAAAGTTTGTTGGCCTTGTCCGTTTGTAACAACGTATGCCTTATTTTCCTCTTGTATTTTCTCAGAGTCTTTTTTTTTTTGTTCATATTTTACCCTTGTGTTATAAAATTGAGTTTGGATTATGATTATGTTGACATGATGGTATTTTCTTTTTATTTTGGATTTGAATTTAGATTAAGATTACGATGACATGATGGTATTGCATATATAACTACGACGTGCAAATATCAATCCTCTGTAACAGTGTTACATAAATAATCCCCTATTCTCTGACACCGATCTTGTAACATCCTTATTCATGATAATACGTTTATTATCAACAAACAAAAAGATAATATGTAAGTTATTTACGATATCCAAGTTTTTTGGCGGATCCCGTCGGCTCACATTGGTATCATTCTCATCACGGACCGCAGAGGACGGAAGGACTTGCGGGGGCGTTGATAGTGCTTAAGAAGCAAGAGGAGGAACAGGCAGGGGAGGTAATTTATGGTTTTACAGTAAACTTATCAAATGTAATAATGTGAATACATCTTGTTTTAAAAAAAGATTTGTGTGTCACTATAAGGGGAATGTTGAACCTATGTGTCATCATATTTAAGGTTTGGTGTTTCCTTGTTCACCACCGGCAATATATTACATCACATACTTACAGGTGTGATAACGCACAACGCACCAAAACCTTCGTGCGCAGATCGTGCATACATCGTGCATACATCGTGTGCACACTCACACGATAAAGTATCGTGCGCACAATTGTGCGATGTGATCGCACATTTTGTGCAGTTTGGTAAAAATGGTTGGCCAATATTAAGGATTGAAAATTAAACGGAAATTCGTGAAATTATTACTAAATAGCGATCGCATGAACATTAAAATTGTTCGGAGATCATAAAAGTCATTTTGAATTCGACAATTTCCGAAATAACACTGGACCTGCATTGGCGAATAGTGGTCCATCGGAAAACAAAAGTTTACCAGTATACGGGTAAATATACAAGGCAGGTCCGGACCCGTATCGGATGGGTCGCACGTGTAAGAACACAACTTACGCATATAGTTTTAGTCATACAGAAGTAATAAAAATATCATTTTCTTTGTGACGATAGGAGATTTTAAATGCTTCACAGCTGTGACAAAAAAAGACGTCCATCAATTTTTACCTATAAGATGTATATATAATGTGCGCCCGAAAAATAAGACCGGTCACGTGTGACTCTCTGTAAACAGAACTCCGAAAATTACGAGTGTATCTAACTATTCAGTGTGTATCTTATATATATCTACTGGTGTCCTACCTATACAGTAATGGCTCAATAAGTATTTATACTTAGTTGTATTCCTATAGATGTAGAAAATAAACCAACTTCTTTATAAGTCATTTCTAAATTTATATTAACCACGATAAAATCGCACATTTGTGCGATAGAACCGCACAATGTACGCACACATTTGCGATAGCATATTTCGTCCGATTTTCCTATCGTTCGCACAACGTGCCGACATCGTGCGCACATCGTTAACGTTGTGCTATCCCACAACTGTATATATCTTTGTCCGTGTAAAGATTTAAGACAGAAAAAAGTTTGTAAGTTGGTAGACATGTTGACTAACTTTGTTTTTTTTTTTTTTAGGAAGATGAGCAGGTACAAAAGACTGAGTACTTGATGTTCCTGCAAGACTGGTTCCATAGATCGTCAACAGAATTAAACAAGTTCCTGGACTGGGGCATGATACAGTAAGGCTTAACACTGAGTAAAGAGGCCAGGCTTCTTGTAACACAAGTGAACACACATTAATCATTAAATCAATATCACATAAAAACACCAAACAAATAATTCACCACGAAATAGGTTATTTGGAACTGTATGACGATTGTAAATTACAGCTGTGTTAAAAGTTGATTATTCTTACGTGTCCTATTTATGGTTTGTTAAAACGTTTTGGTATGATACCTCGGTATGAGGTTGAGAATTACTTGGGTGTCCTATTTATGGTTTGTTAAAACGTTTTGGTATGATACCTCGGTATGAGGTTGAGAATTACTTGGGTGTCCTATTTAAGGTTTGTTAAAACGTTTTGGTATGATACCTCGGTATGAGGTTGAGAATTACTTGGGTGTCCTATTTATGGTTTGTTAAAACGTTTTGGTATGATACCTCGGTATGAGGTTGAGAATTACTTGGGTGTCCTATTTAAGGTTTGTTAAAACGTTTTGGTATGATACCTCGGTATGAGGTTATTTTTACTTATGTCCTGTTAAGTTGTTAAAACGTTTAAGTATGATATCTAGGTATGAGATGGATTCTAAAGTCTATGTACTGTATCTGGATTTAAGGTTTTTCTACGGATTGGATAACGACCAATGTTCCACGGTGTATTTTGGAGCAGACCAGGAGAACGTTGGCTTCATCCCGTTGAACGCTATACTTATAAATGGAAAAGGTATGTACAATATTGTAGGTCATATAGAAGAACTTGGGTAAGATATGGAAACATTGGGATAGGATATGGAAGTATTTTGGTAGGATATGGAAGTATTTCGGTAGGATATGTAAATATTTGGGTAGGTTATGGGAATTATTGGGTAGGATATGGAAGTATTAGGATAGGATATGGAAGTATTTGAGTAGGATATGGAAGTATTTGGTTAGGATATGGAAATATTTGGGTAGGATATGGAAATATTTGGGTAGGATATGGAAGTATTTGGGTAGGGTATGGAAGTATTAGGATAGGATATGGAAGTATTTCGGTAGGATATGTAAATATTTGGGTAGGATATGGAAGTATTTGGGTAGGATATGGAAATATTTGGGTAGGATATGGAAGTATTTGTGTAGGATATGGAAGTATTTGGGTAGGATATGGAAATATTTGGGTAGGATATGGAAGTATTTGTGTAGGATATGGAAGTATTTGGTAGGATATGGAAATATTTTGGTAGGATATGGAAGTATTTGGGTAGGATATAAAAGCTTTTGGGTAGGGTATGGGAATTATTGGGTAGGATATGGAAGTATTAGGATAGGATATGGAAGTATTTGAGTAGGATATGGAAATATTTGGTTAGGATACGGAAACATTTGGGTAGGATATGGAAGTATTAGGATAGGATATGGAAGTATTTGGGTAGGATATGGAAATATTTTGGTAGGATATGGAAGTATTTGGGTAGGATATAAAAGCTTTTGAGTAGGATATGGAAACATTTGGGTAGGATATAAAAGCTTTTGGGTAGGGTATGGAAATATTTGGGTAGGATATAAAAGCTTTTGGGTAGGGTATGGAAATATTTGGGTAGGATATAAAAGCTTTTGGGTAGGATATAAAAGCTTTTGGGTAGGATATGGAAATATTTGGGTAGGATATGGGAAATATTTGGGTAGGATATAGACGTACTTGGATAAGATATGAAAGTACTTCTGCAAGATTTGGTAGTTACAGTGCAAAATGTGATCGTACCCAAACCGAGTTTGGCCCATATTTTTTAGTTTAGGATGTGATTAATATCAGTATAGAGTGATTTCTCCCCAACGTTTATTGAGATCTCCCGAAATGGTCATTTGTTAATAACACTACGTAAACGTTGTATTTTGGTCAATAATGTTGTTATGACTGATGTCATACCAGTAGATATTATTTACAACCAACTACAGCATCTCATTTTAGTGTTTTACAAATGAAATAATTCAAATATAACAGAATGTGATATACAATGCAACCTCTATAATTTGACATTTACAGCAAGCATAATTAGTGTATTATATTTCGTTCATTCAGGGAACACGTTTCTAACAGATATGACAACAAACAGTGCGCAGCAGACATTAGAGACTTTTCACGTGACAGTTAATAGTACATACAGGTTCCGACTGGTCAACGCTGCCATGACATTTCCACTACTGCTATCTGTAGACCAGGTAAGACTTGTTAATACCTGTCTAGACGGGTGATTGGGGCTGGTAATATCAACCCCGTGAATTCCTGTCTAGACGGGTGATTGGGGCTGGTAATACCAACCCCGTGAATTTCTGTCTAGACGGGTGATTGGGGTTGGTATTACCAACCCACGGGTGATGGGGCTGGTAATATCAACCCCGTGCATTCCTGTCTAGACGGGTGATTGGGGCTGGTAATATCAACCCCGTGAATACCTGTCTAGACGGGTGATTGGGGCTGGTAATACCGACCCCGCGAATACCTGTCTAGACGGGTGATTGGGGCTGGTAATACCGACCCCGCGAATACCTGTCTAGACGGGTGATTGGGGCTGGTAATACCGACCCCGCGAATACCTGTCTAGACGGGTGATTGGGGCTGGTAATACCGACCCCGTGAATACCTGTCTAGACGGGTGATTGGGGCTGTTAACCCCGTGAATTCCTGTCTAGACGGGTGATTGGGGCTGGTAATACCGACCCCGTGAATACCTGTCTAGACGGGTGATTGGGGCTGGTAATACCGACCCCGTGAATACCTGTCTAGACGGGTGATTGGGGCTGGTAATACCGACCCCGTGAATACCTGTCTAGACGGGTGCTTGGGGCTGGTAATACCGACCCCGTGATAACCTGTCTAGACGGGTGATTGGGGCTGGTAATACCAACTCCGTGAATACCTGTCTAGACGGGTGATTGGGGCTGTTAACCCCGTGAATTCCTGTCTAGACGGGTGATTGGGGCTGGTAACCCCGTGAATTCCTGTCTAGACGGGTGATTGGGGCTGTTAACCCCGTGAATTTCTGTCTAGACGGGTGATTGGGGCTGGTAACCCCGTGAATACCTGTCTAGACGGGTGATTGGGGCTGGTAACCCCGTGAATTCCTGTCTAGACGGGTGATTGGGGCTGGTAACCCCGTGAATACCTGTCTAGACGGGTGATTGGGGCTGGTAATACCAACTCCGTGAATACCTGTCTAGACGGGTGATTGGGGCTGTTAACCCCGTGAATTCCTGTCTAGACGGGTGATTGGGGCTGGTAACCCCGTGAATTCCTGTCTAGACGGGTGATTGGGGCTGGTAACCCCGTGAATTCCTGTCTAGACGGGTGATTGGGGCTGGTAACCCCGTGAATTCCTGTCTAGACGGGTGATTGGGGCTGTTAACCCCGTGAATTTCTGTCTAGACGGGTGATTGGGGCTGGTAACCCCGTGAATACCTGTCTAGACGGGTGATTGGGGCTGGTAACCCCGTGAATTCCTGTCTAGACGGGTGATTGGGGCTGGTAACCCCGTGAATGTCTGGCTAATAAACGTTCGAATGAATCAGTAATTCGTTCGAACTACTTTTTAACTTGTCTGTACGACTTGTTTATCCGTTCTTACAACTTCATTTTTATTGTTGAACCGTTCGAAAAGTTAGCAAAAGTATCTTTTAGGAGTAAGGTTTATTAGTTGGAGATTTAAGCGGTAATAACGATGATAAGGACAATTAACTACAACGTTCTACTTTGAGATATAGTCACTCTTGTTTTGTATACACATGTATTTTCTTACCATAGGAGAAAAAGAGAGTGTGTTCACGGTATACTAGATTTCATTTCTCCATCTTTAATATTGATTTCAAGCGAATTACAAATTATTTTTCATTAACTTTATTTTAACTAAACTTTACATAAATAAATGTGATATACATCAAATTCTGCGTAAACAGGTATTTTTTATATTTTGATAAGAATAAGAGGTTGATTTATTCAACACTACCGTCATAGGAATGTAAATACATCGAAAGAAAAATAACCAAAAAATCGTTAATATCAGAAAGAATTCACACCTGCAAGCAGCCAGCTATTTGCCGCTTGATATCACAATTGTCCTGTAGCTCCGTGCGATGCTAATGCTGTATAATTAGCATTTATAAACGTAGCTTGCATTAACCTAAACGTAAATCCATCTGTTGATTAAAACTTCTCGACGATATCTAAGATTTTATTTACATTGGCTGTGAGGAAGTTTAATGTTCCAGTGATGTGTAAACAACTAAATGAATTAAATAGTTTTTAACACAATAAACACATCTTGAAAAAATAGCTAAATTTTGGGACATTTTAATGGTTTCATATTGTTATATTTCTATATTCTATCGCATCGAAATTTAACCATTTTTTCGATAATCTTATGATGTTGTTGAAGATAAACAAAACTTTCATTTTTTATTTTTTTATTTTTTAATTTATCATTATTATTCATGACCATTTTTGTATCATCTTCATTATTCATTCACTACTTAGGTGAATTTCTAACGTATACAGATTTCACTGCCGGGAGTTTTCAATAGTCTAATCTGAGTGAAACAAGGATTATCAGCTTCACCGAAATGCTGCCAAAACAAGTGTCATGCTAAACCAGTTAGTAAAACAATAGCTTTGTTCCAAATTATTGACAGAATAGCTTCCGTAGAAAATACGTAATGCACGCGTAAAACGAATGGAAGTTTCAGCGTTGATACGCCACTTCGCTAATTGCATTACAACCAAATAGACTATGTAAAATAACTTGTCTTCAAATTCTGTATTGTGTAAAATCAATACATCATCCTTGTTTAATTAAAAGAACTGGAACAACAGAAATATAATACTAACTTTTAAGAAGGAATGAAACTTGATCTATTAAAACTTTATTCGTGAACTTAAAAGATAAACGCTACTCGCTCGCCGCAATATTGCAATTCATGCATCACGCATGACGTGTATACTATGGCTTATATCTCCAAGCGGCATTGTCTCCTGTCATAGCCATTCTACAAAGTAATGCACGCTTGAATTTTTATAAAATCGAGTGCAGATACATGTGAAGTTTTACACAGTACTGACAACCGTCATTTACTGAGCGTGTTATGTGCAACAATTGACATACGTGTCGTGTGCAACAATTGACATACTTACGTGTCGTGTTTCTTTTGGCATTCTTTTCAACATGAATGCGTACGTGAAGCAAGTTACACTTTCAAGGTGAACTTTGTTACATATTTTTATGTTACCAATCTGAATCTCTCTGATGTCTGGTTTTTTCTAGTTTTTAAGTACGTAATAGATTATCATAAATATAGGTAAATAGATCAATTCAGCCTACCTTTCGTCAACACTTTCATCACCTGAGTGTTGTCCTCCCATAATTACATTCCATTGAAGTCTTATGTTCTTTGTTTCTGAGAAATCTTTATAAATGCTAATATTCTGTTAACACAATAGCGGATTGTTCTTTAATACTTAATCTCATTTTCCAGTGAAACAGAAAGCTATATTAATTTGAGTTTGTAACCACTGCAGTGATAATGTAACTTTTGTAGTTTTGACCAATCAGAGCTTTGGTGACAATGTAACTTTTGTAGTTTTGACCAATCAGAGCTTTGGTGACAATGTAACTTTTGTAGTTTTGACCAATCAGAGCTGTGCTTTCAGGTCATGTAGTCTCCTATTTTACTTTGCTTCTGTCATTTATTTCAAAGAGTACACAGGCTTGGCCTTGTTGTCAACCTTAACGCCAGCCTTCTTCAACCTGGTTGGCTTAATGTTAGTTAGAGTAAAGATTTGGTTTAGGAAACTTATCAAACATGAACTGACATTAGGGACAGTTTTTTTAATTATTTTACAGCTGCTTACACTGGTCAGATAATATATTTTGATTTTTAATTTTATCTGTAACATTGTTGTATTTTCAGTGACAACAAATTTGATCAGCGCCAATCACTGGTTAACTTTTATTAACATTTTGAACACTCGGCTCCTGACGTGGAAGAGCGTGCCAATATTTCCCCCTTTTTAATCGGTTTTCGTTTTTAAGATGTAATAAAAAGAAAATTCATTGGCTATAGATATTATACATACCCTGTATTTCACGAGTATGACATATTATCTATTCCTTTTTATGAGTGCAAAGCAAGAGTGTTAAAGTAAAGATATTTCTTTCAAAAGAAAAAACATGGGTTTTCTTCTATTTATCAAATTGAAAACATTATCCCTTCATATTACTTATCATATTTATAGAAACGCTGAATAATTACCGATAAAAAGAATTAGATTGAACACGAGTTGTTGTGTACATTTTTTGTCTAGCATGAGGTGGAGGTTGTGGCTGTGGACGGGAATGAGATCGTTGGTGTGAAGGGTGATGCTGTAATTATCAATACTGGGGAGAGATTGGACATGCTGATACGTACTTATCAACAGGTCTCAAGTTATTGGATCAGAGTGTCTACGCTAGCGAACAATCAACCCGACAAGGTAGGCGCAGACGCAATTTATACAGTGGCTTTATATTTTTATTTAAATTCTGTTTGTAATGCTACCGAAGATATACACATTTTCCGGTGAATTTAAGGTTAATGGTTTCTATCACATGTTTTGCATTGTGTACATACTTGTTCTAAATTCATACTTAATATCAAACACGTGAGTGTAGCCAACTCACTTCTCTGTCGCTCATGACAACACGAGTTGTGTCCCGTGTACCGATCTATTTGTATAGGGTGTTGTGTGTCCCGTATCCCGACCTTTGTGTAGCGGGCGTTGTGTGTCCCGTATCCAGATCTTTGTGTAGAGGGCGTTGTGTGTCCCGTATATCGATCTTTGTGTAGAGGGCGTTGTGTGTCCCGTATCCCGACCTTTGTGTAGAGGGCGTTGTGTGTCCCGTATCCCGATCTTTGTGTAGAGGGCGTTGTGTGTCCCGTATCCCGACCTTTGTGTAGAGGGCGTTGTGTGTCCCGTATCCCGACCTTTGTGTAGAGGGCGTTGTGTGATCCGTATCCCGACCTTTGTGTAGAGGGCGTTGTGGGACCCGTATATCGATCTTTGTGTAGAATGCGTTGTGTGTCCCGTATCCCGACCTTTATGTAGAGGGCGTTGTGTGTCCCGTATCCCGACCTTTGTGTAGAGGGCGTTGTGTGTCCCGTATCCCGACATTTGTGTAAAGGGCGTAGTGATAATTTTAATTATTTGACAAAAGTCTAACGGGGGAAATACACTTTCTCGTTAACAACATAAAGATATTATCATTATCAAGCAAATTAATAAAACGGAGAAAAAGGACGAAAACGCTACGTAGCCATTACGTATAGACATCGATAAATCGGGATAGACAAGATTGGCAACCTCATATCTGTAGAAACTTTATTTAAGAAAAGCACACCTCTTCATTTCTAAATCAATCAATGATCGATTTCGGCTTTCGTTCATTCCCTTAAGTTGTTCTTAAATTTCAACTTGTTATGCCCTAGCACATCTAACGCGACCCAGAAAGAATGGAGTGATGGCGATAACCTCATAGTATGACTATACTTATTTTTTTTAATTTGTATGGAAAGGTGATATGGAATTAATGCGTGTTCGTAGTACAATCGTTCAAAATGAAAAAAACATATAAAAAATTTGAAAAGTAATACATCATTCCAAAATTACAAATAACTTAAAAACGGAAAATATTGTTCTATAACATTGAAATTTCTTCCATTCTTTAACAGACTCTGGGATTACTACACTATGAGGGATCAGATACCACTCTTCCTGTTACGGAGTCGACTAAGTGCAACGCTACAAGGCGATGCCGAGTTGTCAACTGTTTATTCGGGTAACCTGATCCTGTATTTCAAGAAATTCGGAATGGATCTTAATTACAGAAATTTCCAGAATAATTGTTCTTGTATTCACATCATGACACTTGCTATATATTTTGGGTACTTTTTTGTAATTTATGTAGGCCTTGACTCGGTTAGAAAGCATAAATGTTTTTAAACTGCAGAAGATTTGAAATAATTTAGTTTACGTATATATATACATGTATATTTATGTGGCATAGCTATAGTTTGAAATCCTTTTCACTTTAGTAACGATTCAAGCATTTCATTAAAATGTTTTGATATTTTCTATCAATTAACAATAAGATTTGTATGCATCATTTGTTAGTTCTTAAATTTCGGATTGTTTTACTACTTTCCAAGAATAAACTTGTAAGTGATAATTGGATGTCGAACTTTGACATCGAGTTTCAGGTTTCAACATTCATAATATTAACTAATGCTCCTGAACTTCAAAACGAGGATTGTGATTTGTTGATGTATAAATACAACAGCCAATGATAAACATTATTTTTTTATTAATATCTTATATAAGTTTTGTTTCATATGCTTATTTTCTGTAGATAAAAATGTATATTTTTTCTTGTTTTTATAATTACATATTCCATGGTTTATTTTAAATTAATACCTTGCGGTAATCCCACATACATTAGTCTTTTAACGATAAATGTATAATTCTACAATTGTAGTTTAGATATGAGATAAATAATGGAATATATACAAAGATTATATATCCTGGTTGTCAATGAATAGACCGGTTGCCAACATAAACAAAGTACAATTCTTAATGTCTGTTATAGTTTTGCAAAGGAAATATAGGCGTTTATCAATTTGTTAAAAAAAATTATCCATCTTATCAAATTTATACTATCACAGGCGATGACTAAACATTACCAATAATAGTATCTAGTCGTAATTTTGACCAGCCAGAGCAACAATTTTTAATCACTGAATTTAAATTAGTCTCCGGCTCGCCACTTTTGTCTTTCTTCACCCTCACCTAAATATAGCTTATAGTTTAAAACACTGACCATGTATTCTATTGATGCTGCCACTTTGATTGAAAATCAGACTACTGAAACTTAAATATTCTGTGTTTTTACCTGGCATTGACGTTACGCTAATGACAAGTTGCTGGATAAAAGTAACAAAAATCGCTCGTTAATAATATATTTCATACTATGTATAATATAAAAAACGGGAAACCATAAAATGTTCTCTATACCTTTGTAGACTTATTTCTAATCTTGTTCTCGTGCTAATCATATAGCTAATTATATGTGCACAGGAAATACCCGGATGACCTGTATACCGACTGTGTTTCACTTGGTGCTATGAAATCGACACCAGAGGAAATTAAACGACATCCAGTTTCTGTTGCGGAGTCCTTAGATACATTCCAGGAAATATTTCTAAACTTCCATTACACCCGTATGTACAAGCATACCTACATTTGTAATCAGTACATATTTTTATAACACTTTTGCTCCGATATGGGGAATATTATAGATTTGTATTTCGTCAATCAGTCCTGGACCATAATGGCGTTGGTTTGCCAAATTTTCTGTGTAAATGTGAATCCCTCCCTCTCTCTTGTCGTTTTTTTATCGAAACAATTATGAACTTGTTGTCAAATTGATGTGATAATCCTGTTTCTAATCACATTGATTCTGAAAATGCTTTCGTGAATTTGGGCGTTGTATTTTTGTATTACTATGTATAAAACGTTGACGGACATATTAAAAAATATCATGTTCTCATCTTCTCCCTAATTGTTTTAAATGCAGGCGGAACCTCATACCCGTTCCCAACTTCTGTAAGTGGGAAGAAGTTTATCCGACCATCTGTACCTTTACAGGTAATAGTAAACTTTATTTATTTTACAACAATTACGAAGCAAGTATTTTTCAACTTACATTAATCAGATTAAATAGGTCAGTATCAGTAATGCGTGTTTTTGATGTTTGATAAAGATATTGAAGATTTTATTTCAACTTTATTTTTTTTTTATTATATCTGCGAAGTTTAGATTTCACAAGACATCTTGTCATGATTCTTTTCCTGAAAGCATTGGATAAACCATATTTATATAAGTTATCCTTATGATTTTGTGCATAGACATCCTACCTTTCGTTCCCTGTGTTTATATATGATTTTGCGGTTTTTCAGTTCGTCGCATTGTCTGTTGTGGCGTTTACTTCGTTAGAGTTTGTAGCTCGTCTCATTTATCTGTGCTTGTTGATAATATATGTGGTATTATCTTCCTGATTCTCCATGCTGTCAAGCTTTACTGTTATATCTCGGTCTCCTAGGATACCGTTGTCATGTTGTGTCCCGCATTTTGGTATTTCAACTACGACTACTCTAAATTTGATGTTAATGCCACAGATATTTTTAATGTTATTTGATAGTTACTTCCCACGGCAAACGATACATACATCGCCTGTGAAAACGTGGAATGTCGGGACATCTGTGACTGCACCAATATTGTCAAACTAGGCATCAACAACACCATCCAACTGGTTCTCCACAACATGGGTACGTGTGTACACTTTGCATTACAATGAAACTAATCCGATTGATATATGAAAAATCACCGGATAGATATCTATGTTGCCATTACGTTGAAAATAATGACGTCATCGTTTTTTACGTGACACCAAAGTGTCTTTCTACCTAATTGGTTACACCGTCCAGAATGCATATCTTTCTTTTTGTTTGCTTCGAATTAAAACAAACCAGAACATTTTCAGTAAAAATATTTTAACAAACACGATTTTACCATTGGTTTTTTTATTTGTTTTGCAAAGAAACATAACGTGTTTTTAGATATGCCAAAAAATGTCTGTAGGAAAATCTTGCCACCAAACTCGACGAAAAGATTGAAAATTAGAAATTCCTTTATTCTTTCTATATTTTTACTTTAATTTGGACATATTGTTTACGAAATATGCTTCGGTTCACAAAGTCTCATAAGTTTCTTAAATCCACGTTCAATTAACTCCACTTTTATCATTATCTCATAGACTAACCCTTATTTATATAAATAACTTTCCTGTAGTGCAAACCATGAAGTGTGGGTTTTAACATCACGTAACGCTATCTCAGTTATAATCTTAGGAACAAACTAAAACGAGACTGTGCAATAATACCGATATCTCAATACTTATAATAAATCGATACCGTTTTGTCTTGTCAATCTGCAGATGAAAGTAGAAATGGTCTAAGTCATGGCATACACATCCACGGCCATCACGTTCATGTGTTGAAGGTCGGTTACCCAAACTACAACAGTACTACTGGTAGGATTAGTGAGCAGAATTCTGACATCCTATGTGATACACCGACTTGTAACAACGCTAGCTGGAGAGACCAAAGCTGGTCAGGTGGACAGTTGCCTGGTGCCAATTTTGAAGACCCACCGTTAAAAGACACAATCTTAGTGCCGCGCCAGGGATATGTGGTGGTGAGGTTTAAAGCTGACAACCCAGGTATTTTTTTATTCTCATACTCTGACCTTCATCGCTTTTGAATTAAAAAAATGTAATACGTTTTTATTGTAATTATAGTACAGGTTTACAATTTTACATTAAGTTTGAAACTTTCAAAGTAATTAACCTTTATATTACCTATCTACTGAAATACCCTACTTTTAGGCTTTTGGTATATGCACTGTCATATGGAACCCCACCAAATCTCGGGAATGACACTTATTCTTCAAGAGGGCGACATTGGACAAATGCCACGACCTCCTGCAAAGCTACCCCGTTGCGGTAATTTCTTCTCAGATATGGATTCAGCAGATCTTTCTAAAGCCAAGAACAGCCTTCTGAAAAACGCCATGCCTTCAGATCAGATACGAGGTATACATATGTAGGTTGCATGTAACTGGGGCGTGATATTAGAGAAAGTATATATAATGTAATTGTATTTCGATATACATGTTTATGCATAGTAACTTACGCTAGACTGCATGACAAGAAAGAAAACATTATATATATATTATATAATGAAATGTAAATATTTCAAATACGCTAACAGTGAACACATATTCAGACGCTATCGCTAATAAGCAAAGAGTGCCTTAATGTCATATCTCATTTGTTGTCTGTTCACTGCAGACCTTTAACGAAAAAGATATGTATCATAAAAACGCAAGACAGCCAAGGAAAGAAAATGTAATAGTTTTCAAAATATTTCTCAAGCAATTTGTCCCAAAGACTTTACGATGATAACAGAGCGTGATCGACTACAATGTAACCAGTTTTATGAATAAGTACTTGACGGAACTAGCCAAGGGGAACAGAACAAACAGCTACAAGTGACGACACTAACAGAGTATTATAGAACACGACAGCTACATGACGGCACAAACCGATATCAATTAAACACAACAGCTATATGACGGAGTCAAATAACACACGAGTGATTATCACGAGAGTTATAAAACACATCAGCTATTAGAGAGCACATATAGGAAATAACAGAACACACTAGATATATGAGAGCTTAAGCAGAGAGTAACAGAACACACCAGATATATGACAGCTTTAGCAGAGCGTAACAGAACACACCAGATATATGACAGCTTTAACACAGAGTAACAGAACACACCAGATATATGACAGAATTAACAGAGAGTAACATAACACACCAGATATATGACAGAATTAACAGAGAGTAACATAACACACCAGATATATGACAGAATTAACAGAGAGTAACAGAACACACCAGATATATGACAGCTTTAACACAGAGTAACAGAACACACCAGATATATGACAGCTTACCACAGAGTAACAGAACACACCAGATATATGACAGCAGTAGCAGAGAGTAGCATAAGGCACCAGATATATGACAGAATTAACAGGGAGTAACAGAATACACCAGATATATGACAGCTTAAACAGAGAATAACAGAACACACCAGATATATGACAGCTTTAGCAGAGAGTAACAGAACACACCAGATATATGACAGAATTAACAGAGAGTAACAGAACACACCAGATATATGACAGAATTAACACAGAGTAACAAAACACACCAGATATATGACAGCTTAAACAGAGAGTAACAGAACACACCAGATACATGACAGCTTAAGCAGAGAGTAACAGAACACACCAGATATATGACAGCTTAAACAGAGAGTAACAGAACACACCAGATATATGACAGAATTAACAGAGAGTAACAGAACACACCAGATATATGACAGCTTTAGCAGAGAGTAACAGAACACACCAGATATATGACAGCTTAAACAGAGAGTAACAGAACACACCAGATTTATGACAGCTTAAGCAGAGAGTAACAGAACACACCAGATATATGACAGCTTAAACAGAGAGTAACAGAACACACCAGATATATGACAGAATTTACAGAGAATAACAGAACACACCAGATATATGACAGCTTTAGCAGAGAGTAACAGAACACACCAGATATATGACAGAATTAACAGAGAGTAACAGAACACACCAGATATATATGACAGAACACACCAGATATATGACAACTTTCACAGAGAGTAACAGAACACACCAGATATATGACAGAATTAACAGAGAGTAACAGAACACACCAGATATATGACAGAATTAACACAGAGTAACAAAACACACCAGATATATGACAGCTTAAACAGAGAGTAACAGAACACACCAGATTTATCACAGCTTAAACAGAGAGTAACAGAACACACCAGATATATGACAGCTTAACACAGAGTAACAGAACACACCAGATATATGACAGCTTTAGCAGAGAGTAACAGAACACACCAGATATATGACAGCTTAAACAGAGAGTAACAAAACACACCAGATACATGACAGCTTTAACACAGAGTAACAAAACACACCAGATATATGACAGAATTAACAGAGAGTAACATAACACACCAGATATATGACAGCTTAAACAGAGAGTAACAGAACACACCAGATATATGACAGCTTTAGCAGAGAGTAACAGAACACACCAGATATATGACAGCTTAAACAGAGAGTAACAGAACACACCAGATATATGCCAGCTTTAGTAGAGAGTAACAGAACACACCAGATACAGATATACTATAATGTTAATAGTGAATAGAACACCCAAACAACGTAGTTATAATCTGATGCGGGTTGTGCGTAATGTATATGTCTGATCTTGTTCCGGACTCTATATTTAAAGCACGTTATCGAGATTATTATGTAGCTCCTATCAGTAACATGTCAAGCGTTACGTAAGCTACTCTTTCTAAACTGGTTATGGTTAGTGATTATTTTATCGTCAACAGCGACCTTACAGCCGTGTGGATCAGTGACATATTTGGAATACTTCAAAAAGACAAAGGCAAAATATGTGGCGGCGATATCTGTATTGAGTATATTCAACGCCGTAACACTTGTTGTGCTGTATATTACAGTAAAGTGTACAGCCAAGAAGGGTTACAATAACAGAGTTAGATATAAGCGCATCGAGATCAACGAAAGGACGGAAGCAGAAGCATTTAGGAATCACGTGGACAAGCAGTCGTTTTAACTTATTTTTAAACTTTATGATTGAAGACATGCTAATAGAGATGATTAATGATGCTTTTTGCTACTCATGTGACTTACCGCAAACCATGTGATGTTTTCTCCAAGATGTAGAACGTTTCGGCACACTGAACATCGCTTTCCCAATACATTTTGGATGTTTTCTTTGTATATTCCATTCTCGTGATGTGAGTAATTCAATATTCATCCAAAAATACAAACATGTGCATTTTACTTGGCGCGTGATGTGCTTGCAGCACATGATCTACACTCTTGTTAAGTAGCAATAACTATCGGGTGACTGTAAGCTTTATATCAGCAATATATTAGTGTTGCCAATGACACATTTATGATTTAGTTTTGTCAACAAAATTGTTTTTTTTTATCCCTAAATAGATAAATATACATTGGATGCCATCAAGTTTGAATACGCGGTCTGACTAATATCAATAAACTCACTGATTAAGAGATTGATTCCCCTAATAATGAAGGTATAATTTGACCCAATTTTTGATTTTGAAATGTATATCTCGTGTATTGTTTTCTCTATGACTTGTGAGTTATCGGGCTTTGTCGGAAAACTTGTTTATTTTTTGTTTAAAAAGAAGATTTGAATAACTCACTTTTATGGATAAGAACGAGTTAGAGGAAAATGAAGTGGGAACAGTTTGTAAGAAAACATCATGGGGAATCGTAGGTGGAATGGTGATATATGCTGAAACAAGATAATTCTCAAAATTAGTTCGTTTTTCTCATCAGTAGTTATTGCAGGAAGAAGGAAGAATCCTATGATGGCAGTAGTTATCTTAGGAAAAATACAAGCGGTAGTTATTGTAGAAATATCTAGCAGTGGTAGTGGTTATTGTGGAAATATCTAGCAGTGGTTATTGTAGAAAGATTACTAGCTGTAGTTATTTTAGAAAGATTACGAGCTGTAGTTATTGTGGAAATATCTAGTAGTGGTTATTGTAGACAGATTACGAGCTGTAGTTATTGTGGAAATATTACTAGCAGTTATCATTAGTTATCACAAGAGGAATACTGATGTATGTATTTTAGGAAGATCACTAGCTGTAGATATTTTATTTATAATTTTAGGAGGAAGAGTATAATTATTGTGTATTTTGCATTCTGATATCGTCAAGGATTTGCTTTGTTTACCTATACTAAGCCTGTTACTCTGCTCACACATATTGTATTCAAAATTACTTATTACAATATTTAATATCGTGGAGTATTTTGTCATTATTTAAATTCTCACCCCCCCCCCCCCCCCCCTACACACACACCCTCACACACACACCCTCACACACACCCTCACACATACACACACACACACACACACACACACACACACAGACACAGACAGAGAGATACACATACACACAGATACACACACACATACCCTCACACACACACACACACACACACACACACACACACACACACCCTCACACACACATTCACACACACACACACGAAAATCAATAATGTTACAGTGATATTGACTTATTTATGGAGTACTTGTACATGTAGTATGGATGCCTTGTCAACAATTAACTAATGGTTTAGATATACATGATATATGTATCTTGTGACTGCATCCTTATACGACGTTACAATGAAACATTACAACTTAAATCTGTAACACTGCACTCCACTGAACCATCACAATATCACAAGAAACCATCGTTTACAAACTTGGTCTAACCGACATAATACAGCACTTCATTGCACAAGGAGATCGAGTCTTGTTCAGGTAACATGTACGTCCGTTGGTCAAGAACCACTGTCCTTGTCATTGTTAGTATATATTTAGTACTTGGACAAACACCCTTTGATCACGAAGTAAAACCCAGCTGTAGTGAAGATGAGGACATTTGTGAGTTTAACTGGACTGTTAACCACACGGAATCAATGATGGTGTACCCCAACAGTACCACCGTGGGTGGTTCCCAGCCTTTAGTGTATACCAACGATACCATCTACAAGCGGCTTAGCTGTTCCGAGTATGAGGAAGCTACTAGAGAAGGTAAGTCTAGTGAGTTATTGATATGTAAAGTAGACTACACATTACCATAAATCAATCAGTGATTATGTTTAAAGAACCTATTAAGATCAATGGGCTTCCGCGTGGCGTGGGTCACGTATTAAAACTGCAAAACCACAAAGAAATTACCGGCAAGCCAACAGAATCCTAATTCAAAGAATCTACGATAGCCATACAAGGTCTAATACCAATTTCTATGCTGTAGAGTCAAGGAATTAATTAAACTGCAAAATACAGCTTTTTCGTCCTTTTGTTGATAAGGATCGTACTTTTGACGTCTAGGGAGAGACTGCAAAAAATCCATAGCGATCAAAAGGACAGTCGAAATCTAGGAGAAGTGTACAAGCCCAAAGATTTCATCAATGTATATTCTGAACCATAATACTAATAAATTAAAATGTGAAAAAATAATAAACAAAAGAAAAAAGTTGCATAGAAACTTATATGAGGAAGTACAGGAATACGACCAGACATTCCGAAGGAGCAAGCGTCATCGACGAAACCCGTCATGTAAGTAAAACAAGCTTAATAACGATGCAACATCCGGCCATACTAATGAATATCACACTATTTCCATACGAAATCATCATGACGACCCTAAAACTTCCCTATTATCGTCATCCACCTCCATCTCTCGAAATCCTGTATCTAAGTTTGTCAGTTGCCGATATCTTCCATTATTACAATTCGATTCGCGGCCAAACTTGTAAGACAGGGTTTCAAAAGATGCAGGTTGGTGGTCGCCATACTTCTTTGAGAGATATGACGTTGGACATGCACGTTAGTTTACCTGTTGGTTTCATTGTTGTTTACCTTGTTCTCATTTGAGAACGTGACATTCCTTGCTTAGATTGACCAAGGTTTACATGAAAGAACACCTGGTCTTATTCTCCTCGTACTTTCTCAGGAGTCTCTGTGTCAATCTTTCTTTCGTTCATACCTTGCCCTAGTTTTATGGAATATGAGTTAGGATTATGATTATATTGACAGGTTGGCGTTTTTCTGATGTTTTTTATCTTTCCTGTACTGATCCATAACAAGAGAACTTAATTTTTACGCTTTGCTGAACCATTTATGAATGATCAGTACAAACAATGGGGTCTCTATAATGGCAGAGACCTCAAGGTAGATAAATCTTGCAGTTCGACAATATTTGATCAACTTTTGTTAGAAATTGTAGAAATGGTATGTCGCGTTTCTTGGTTCTTTGAACTAGGAAGTAAAACAAATATAATATGATGGAAATGGACATTTGGTTATAAAGGTTTAACGTGAAAACGTCCTCATGGACTTGTGTTAAAATATGACAACGTTACCGTCGGATTATATCAACTGTAAGTGTACAATATTTTTGTTCTACAGAATTTCAGAATATTTATTCATCAGAATGTAATAATCACTTAACTTCTTTATTTGTTCTTATTTCAATGAACACAGTAATTAAAAGATACATACCACGGAGGAGGTCACTACTTTCAGTAAATTGAACTAGAGAATACATCATCACAATTGTTCAGAAATTATGTGGCAAATAAGTTAAGTCGATTGTCTTTCAGCTACGAATTAATAACGATAAGGAAACTTTAGAGGGTCGATATTCTCAAGAGAGACAACAAATGTTATAAGGATATAATTACAGTGAAATAAATGAGATTTCAACCCACCAGTCCACTATTTATCATAAGTAGAGATAGAAGCCACGCACATGGTCATTTTTACCGCAACCAAATTGACATCGATGCAAGAGACAAACAGATGAATTCTGATTATGGCTTGATTCCATGTGTTCGGTAGTAACCACAAATGAAAGTACAGTAAATAACATAATTATATACACTCGTTCAAATGATGAATAAACGATGGTGTGGTTTTACAGTGTTTGTCTTTGGTTTGATGCCTCCATTGTTATGATATCTATGTGAAGGCTGATGATTGACATGTTAAGCTATTTTCTTTATACACTGTAGAGATAAACAACGCCATCACTGTTGACGGTCGATATAAACTGATGTACACCATAAATGGCCAGTTTCCGGGGCCCTCTATAGTTGTCTACGAAGGGCAGCAGGTATTGTCAAACATTTATGTATATTTGTTCAGCAAGATAAAATGTTTTCGGCTAAACTGAAGGGATCTTTTTATCTTATTATCCCATTTATTTTGCTTTGTTACAACATGATATATCATTCAAAAGCGAGTCTGCTTTCTTAATCAATAAAGAAATTAATAGACTTCATGATTGGAAGTGTACAGATTTCTGACTGAATATATCTATTTACTTGTTTCTTGTTAACCAAACGTTTCGTCCTCTTTGAACGGTGTGAATTGTATATGCGTTGAATTCAAAGACACATTAGCACAGAAATTATTCGTAGTCTGAGCATTAAAAATAACCATTAATGATCTTAGGAGAGAGACACAAATAAATGGAATATTTCGATGCGGATTTACCTTAAACAGTATTGCCAAACGATTAATTTAACTAAACAATACACCATTAGTATTGAAGGAGACGACCAAACTAAAGAGTATTATACAAATAAAGAGGTGCAAATGATATATTTGTAGTAACTATATACATACAAAATGTACTTCTAAATTACTCCACCGTAGTTTTGTGTATCATTAATTTATTTTCAATATGATATATCAGAGCCCCACAAATTTCAACACGACATAAACAGCAAAGATAGGATCCATATCTAACAATATAAGTATACAATTGACGTTTTGTGAACCTTTTTCTAATGACGTAATATTGTTCCAATTTTTTAAAGGTTGTCGTCCATATAAAAAATGACCTTGCAATGGAAGGTGTGACAATCCACTGGCATGGTATTTATCAGAGGGGCACTCCGTGGATGGACGGAGTGGACATGATTACCCAGTGTCCTATAAGTCCCGGACAATCATTTACATATAGGTAAAAATAACTCGTTAGACTAAGCAACCTTCAAAGTTTAAAATGTATTTTCAGGTCTCTTATCTAAAATAAACATGTAATAAAACCAAATTTTAACTAATAGCATAGCTTAAAGGGATAACATGATTCTTTCTATTTTCGTCACTATTTCTAGTTATGAATGATATCTTCATTCATTCTTAGGTTTATTGCGGAACCAATAGGGACACATTGGTATCATTCCCATCTGGGTGTCCAGAGGACGGATGGTCTAGCCGGAGCTTTAATTGTCTTACCCCGGTCAAGCGATGAAAATGTGGGATTTTGTTTGTTTGTTTTTTTTATTATTATTTATTTAATTTTTTATTATTATTTTTTTTTTTTTATTTTTTGTTAATTTTTCTTTTTTTTTTTTAAATTTTGTTGTTTTTTTTCATTTTTCATTTTGTTATTCACTGCGTTCCATGTAATAATATTTCATTAACTGAACGTATAAAACAAAGAGTAGTTGGTGTTTAGTTCACACATTAACTTGAGGAGAATCAGGGCGTGATTCAATTGTTTCATCTCTAAATATAAATGTCGTTATCGTCTTTCTTTTCAAAGTTTCAACCTCGAAGAGATGAATAACTGATCAAATGACATTTGTCTTACCTTGTCGTTAGATCTAACTCTGTTACTTGTCATATGTCGTGTTTGAGTTCTTAATTACAATTTTTATTGTATCATTGTAAGAAGGAAGACCTTGAACCAATAGAAAAGGAGTTTGTGGTATTGACACAGGACTGGTTTACCTTCACTTCACTAGAGCTGCTGAAAATGTTTGTCTGGGACATTCGAAGGTATAGTTTATTAGGTCGTGGGTACCAACACCTCTAAAACACGTTAATACCCATTTTGCAAATATTAGAAATATTCCAAACAGCTGAACTCATTACAATGATAAGCATGTCATCCACATTGAGTCAAATAACATTACAAAATAAATTTGGAAAATCTTATGCAAATAGTTTAGCAACGGTATTCTTTAATGAAAAAAGTGAATTATATAACAAACAAAACATAGTACAAAAGAATAAATATCAATATAAGTGAATTATATACCAAGTCACAAAGGAATAAATCTAATTGTTCCACTCTCATACTTACACGGAAATCATGGTTTACTCTGTATGTTTTTAATAATGGAGACAACATGTTATTAATCTTTTTAATCATATGTAACTGTATGGGAGGAAGTTTTGTTTTTCATGTATAACGTTTCAAATAGCAGTATGTTAATATTTAGTATTATGAAACAATTATTGAGTTCTAAACTATGTATTCCTTTCTTTTTGTCAATATTTTGCCCTAGTTTAATTGAATTCGAGATTATTTTATTAGAATTTTTCGGAAATGCTAACTTTAGTCATTATTATACATATTTAAATATTCCATTTCTAGATATTCGTATGGTCTGGATGATCCTCGCTGTTTTATTTCATCTGAAATAAGAAAGCCAGACAATGGATTCACTGGTTTTATGCTATTTGAAAGTGGTCTCATTAACGGCAGAGGTTGGTGTTTATTTCATATTCCAGTTATAGTCATAACGTTTTATCGTTATAATCTATATGTGTATGATGGGTCATTGTCAGTCTCTATGGATATATCATCACCGTCAATTGTTTCACGGTTTTGTATCGACGTCGTTTCACTGAAGATCACCACTAAAGAATTGATTTTTAACAACTTTCTTTCAGGTCACAATTACCCAGATTTTGGTGACAAGCCGAAGTTACCTAAACTGCCTTACGAGACCTTCGTCGTTCAGAGTAACAAGACATATCGGTTCCGTGTAATTAACAGCGCAAACGCATTTACGCTAATTCTATCTTTCGACCAGGTATTAACTTATAGTAGAAGTTACGATAATAAATTGATAGGGTTGTCTAAATATTTAACATGTTCATATTAATCATGATTACCATTCAGAGATGATATGATTCATTACAATAGATCTTCTTCCTATTAAACAAAGTCATTACGTTTCGAAATGATATTGATTTGAATTCATTTCGTCATAACATAAAAGAATGCTACTGCGTGTTTGTCTAAATTTTTATTGTCGCCAATGTTAAAACAAGTTGGGACTGAACCATTAGTTAATGACAATAGAGCTGGTTCGAAATGATATTGTTATTAATAACATTTTATATTGTATAATTCATACATATTTGTCGTTGATTGGTCATTCAGCATCAGTTAGAGATTATCTCTACAGACGGTCACGGGGTCAAAGGTGTTAAAACAGACTTCATTGTAACCACACCTGGAGAGAGGGTAGACTTCTTGCTGCGCACGACAGAAACCCCTGGCAACTACTGGTTCCGGGTCGAGGTTAGAGACTGAATTTGAAAAAAAATACATATATAATCAGCGTAACGTTGTCTATGTATATTCTTCCCGGCAAATATCTAAAACAATTTCAAATACATTCACCATTACAATTAAGGGCATTTGTAAAAGAAGAAAAAAAAACAAGAAAACAAATCTTGGAATTTTGTCAACAGGTGGAGCAATTGTCGCGTTTCAATCGCTCTTGACCTCAATTTATATATATTATCATGTGAACGAGATTGTAAATTCTTTTCACTGTATGGTGCACTAATTACAATAATGTACGGTATTGTCTTAGTAGAGTTAACTATTACTTCTGACATTGCTCATCAAAACTCCTTCCATGGTTTAAAATGAGGTGCAGTTATATGAATCTTTCCAATTTAATATCTTTATCATGTTTTTATCATTTTTCTTTTCAACTGCAACAGGGAAATGGAGCTGGTCAGGTTAAAGGTATTCTGCAGTACGACACTGTACCAGCTGGTACCCCCAATTCCATTCGAAAGACGTGTTTTGGTGAAGATGGATGTACAGCCATCAACTGTATGATTCAGTATGTATGTGTGAATAGTATCAAGATGTTCAATGTTATCAGTAATATCATAAAAAAACCTTTAAACATTAAACATAGAACTTTAAACATATCCAGTAGTTTTCAATATAGCATACACAAACAAATATTATTAGGAGCATCATACAACTGTTTCCCTTCGAGGACTCTTCAAACACGTAAGAGACAATCCAATGAATTTTACCGATGTAATAGATGTGACAGCAAACGCCCTGAATAAGGTCAACCATAAGGGCCTACCCCAATAATGCCAGATAACAGGACATCAACGTAAATAACATTTCTCTGCGTGTATTTAGTAGGAGTAATACAGTATATACTAAATTGTGAAATACTAGACACAATATGCCGCTCGACTAGAGAGAACTTATCACTCGATCGGTTGAGTGTCATACTAGTAAGGCATGGGTCGAGGATTCGAATCATAATTGAAGCATTGCTATGAATAACAAGTAATCAGTTACATTGCGTCATAACAAAAGTAATTTCAGCTTCCAAGTGTATGATAATTGTTGATTACTCAGAGTGTTCCCTCCCGAATACAACCTCACGTGCATTCCACTGCACACACTAAGTCTGGATACAAATCAGGATAAGCGACAAGTGCCGAAATTCACAGATGATGGCAAGTCTATTGAAATCATGCTCAGCAGCCGGTACAAAAGTGAGTTTTCACCGACATTTTGTTTTCCTTAAATTTCCATATATGATTATTTATAATTGCTGAAACAATTTTATTTTTAAAAAACACATAACACTATCAAGCAGTACAATTACTACCCTTCGATGCCCTTACCATGCGAAGAAAAGGCACTGATAAAATTCTTATCTTTTAGCACTGACGTCGATTGCTGTTATGAATGGAAAAAGCTTCGTCAAACCAACTTCCCCATTACAGGTAAGATCAGGATAAATATGTATCAAAGTATCTCTATACATGATAAGGAAAGACATGGGGAGTCTTTTTGTGTTATTTAATCTCTTTATTTTCTGGTTAATATTTTGTTATATTTGAGTTCTGTTCTAACAATTGACCTCATAAGACTTAACCTTTTATTTACTTGATGCCAATGATTGCAGACTTATCCAGATATTGACAGTGCCACTGAGTCGTGTAACAAGACTGATCTTAAGTGTAAAGGAGAGGTGTGCTTCTGTACTCATATCATTAAAGTCGAGCTCGGGGCCACCGTACAGTTCATTTTGGTAGCCCCAGGTAAGATATGCTCAGGGGAAAAAAGACCCCGAACAAACCCTCTAATGTCAACATATTTGTTATTTCATTTGCTAAAAAATTCTTATGTTTTACAATTTTTAATCTGTGGTTCTTCAAAAGTGTTTACTTATTTTCATATTTATATTCCAAATAACAAACATATAAAAGATACAAACAGAAATATCAAAAATAACTTCTAGTTAATTGCATTGTAAGAGCAAGACGCACGATTGCTCGACAAAGCTAATGCATAATTTCAACCACGCTTTTTCAACAGGGCCCTTTCTGGCTGTTCCATTTCTTGGACTACAGCACCCGACCCATATACATGGTCACGATTTCCACGTGCTGAAGGTAGCATACTCCAACTACAACATCTCAACAGGCGAGTCCATTGGATTGAATGAGGATATTGAATGCGAGACAAAAGTCTGGTGTGACAAACCAAAATGGAAAAACCCCTCCTGGGGTGGGGACAACATTCCTGGCCTCAACCTGGTGGATCCGCCTATCAAGGACACTGTACTTTTACCGAGAAAGGGTTACACTGTCATCAGGATGAAAGCAGATAATCCAGGTGCGACTAGGTGCCCCAATGAAGCTTTCTTACTCTATATACAAAAAGAAAATACATTCATCTAAGGTAAAAAAGATATTTATACAATAATTACATGTATATATCATTATGCTTGAATAGTGTTTGCTGTTTCAGGTTTCTGGTTCATGCATTGTCACATAGAGATACACCAGATCACAGGGATGGCCCTCGTACTGCAGGTTGGGGACGTGGACCAAATGCCACCAACGCCCATAAACTTCCCCACGTGTGGCAACTTCAACTTCCCCCGAGAGGAATTTGAGGATATCATAAAAAGTATGTCTATGCCTAAAACCTTCATATTAAGTGATGTTATGTTGGAATAAGTGTTTACAAATATTGTTCATTATTCTCATATAGGCTATTTTGACTTAGAAATATCATTTAAAAACGCATCAGGATTTATACTTTTATAACCAACGTAAAAGTGGTCTTTTTTTCTTTTTTAAAGACTCGAAAGCCTCCTTCGCTACTAAACCGAAAGGACAATTAAGCTCATCTGACAGTGTTCAACGGATCTCTCTCAGAAGTTCAGATGCACACAGAGGGGACTCAAAAACTGTGTACGTCATCGTTATATGCGCACTTCTAGTTACATGTATCTCAACTGGACTTTGCCTAATGTTGCAGATTTTCGAAAAGAAACGTTTAGCTCAAAAATATAGCAAAGATAAAGGTATGAAGTACGGCAAACTTATTAAAGGCGGTGATTCAGATACGGACAAGACCACCCTCATAGATGCTGACCAAGATACTGACAGTCAACAGCCGCCGACCTACATGACTTTTCCGATGCTTTGAACGATTTTCTTGTGAAAGGTCGTCGCTCCATTGATTCTAAAGAATGTTTCCTTTCTCATAACATCATTTGAAATCATTACTGTATCTTTTTACGAATGTTTTCCGCTTTAGAGGCCTCAACAGCGTCTTACTATATCGCTCACAACAGGTCTGTCTAATTGTACATTTTATAACTGTATATGTATGATGAAAAATTCCAGTGAACTCGCCACCCGCAGGTTCACCCTTATTCCTTAAATGAAAGAAGCAAAGATTAGAAACGAGAGGGTGAGACTATCATATGATAACCTATACATTAATGATGTCGCGTACGAACCTCCATACCAGGGTTATCAACATCCACCTGACCCAAACATGCACCCGGTCTCGCGGGATACACATGAGCGGTAACCTGACCTTACATGGGCTAGGACAAGTACTAGAACACGTTAAACAAAACGCTTGTTAATGAAGACATTTTGGGCTTTTTGAATGTGTTTGGACTCCAGAAAAAAACTTTTTTAAACCGGATGTTCTGGGTAAAATTACTCCAAACAATTTCATCTGTTTTTCAGTATGTCCTCATGTAACACATTTTTACGTGTCTGCGAGTCGAGATAAAATATTCGATATTCGAAACCATGCACTTGTTTTTTGTTTTGTTTTGTTTTGTTTTTTTTTTTTTTTGTTTTGTTTGTTTTTTTTTTTTATTTTATTTTATTTTTTCCCGCAAGCAGCGTCATAGTGGTATTCCTTATACGTTGTTTCATGACAGAAAATCCATCTGCTGTGAAAAAGCCTACAGGTCTCCCACAGGTTTCAACAATATTATATTTTAACCTGAAACTGGCAAATTCCTGCACGGGAGATTATTAACATATTAACCCAAGCTAGAAAAATAACCTGATTTTACGTTTGTACACTGCAGTTGTAATATATATATTAAATGCCGTGTTATATAACAAAACAACTATATAGTTTCACCAACTCTGAAATTTTCTCTCTGAAGCGATTTAATACTTCCTGATTTTAAGAGGCTTGGTGCGGAAGGATGTAAGAGAAATGTTTATATTGTTACAAAATTGAATCATTGTTATATGTCTGTTAATACATTGAATATTCGGGAAAAAATATACATTAAGGATTGACGATAGTTCTATGATTGATATCGTGAAATAAATTGAGTTTTATCGCGTTTATCGCGTTCGTCGCGTTCCGCAATATGTTACGTCTGTATGAGGTTACAACTTGCAGCGTATCTTTAAATATATATAATTGTCCTTAAAGTTCCTACAGTAAAGTACATTGTCTACAGCAGCGTATTTCTTAAGTAGGGAGTTCTTCTGTATGTTTTCTCCCACTCCGTGTTCCCTATGCATGCACATCCCAGCGTGTGTTTCTTTAGTCCTGAGTGTTGCGTATCTTTTGTATGTGAAAGAACAGGGAAATCACACATTCCTGTGAATGACCAGGAGTCGAACCAAGATCGCCGATATGAGAATCGGCCGGCTCTTTCCACTGAGCCAAAGAAGTGTCAACTGAGTGTTAGAGTCCATATTTAACACCATATTTCAGCCACGCCAACCCACTCCTTTGACACTAAACCTCGACAACACAGAATAAACTGCAATTTTATATCGTTACTTTTTTCACTCATTTCTTACATTTTATAGCTTCCTCCTTACAGGATATAGAATATTGATATAATTCTACTAAATCACCTTACATATTGTTTAAAAAATTGTTAGGTGTTTACATGTATTTGAAACAAAGGGTTAATTACCACATCACAATGGATAGCCCCACATCTCCTGAGTTCACTTCGTGTATTCGTTTGTCTTTCCATCTTACATAATAGAACCAGCACATTGTCGATATTACGTATATATTGGAGACATAGTCATCAACGAATGAGTCTATATTAGATTTAATCATTATACTTAATGTACCATGCAGGAATCCTGTTACATAAACTGATGAACATAAATTTTCTAGTTACAAAAACTACCTCAACACAATTTGTTCCAAGACAATGGTCTCTCAACCTCGCTCCATATATCAAATGCTCCTAGACACTGAACATTTACTGCCGAGGAGGAAGTTTAAGGAAACCAATACAACGCGCATCTTTGTGTACGCTCTCTTTCACTGTATTCCAAAGCACACACACATAAACATACTTGAGTAAACAACGTTTTTAATAATGTTATAACTTATTACAGGGTTCAAAGCATTGGGATGAATACCGATACTTAGGAATGAAATTAAGTTTGTCCTTCCTTTCACGCAATCATCGATTATAATATTAATTTATTGTAGTTTAGTGGTAAAATCTATCCCAGCGTATGATTTCTATGATGTTAACATGAATCAGAGCCAAATTTACATTGTACGAGAACAAAATCTTCCAAGACGTCAACGTTGAGATTGAAATATTACTAAAGACCTCTTTGTAGAATTATACGTGTTGTCAGCTAGTAAGACATATGATTCGTGTATGTCTTTATGAGCCCAACACTTTGACTCAGCAGTACATATTGTACTAAACAGCTAGTTTCCTTATTTGTGTATGGTATATACCTACATGTTTGGAGTATATGAGAAACATTCGTCCTCCCATGAAACTGTTCGTTTTCGTCAAGTCTTGTTGCATTTACCCTTTTATAAACAAAACATAGCTTTCGCTGTTGACATCACTTGTTGGACCACTTTTTCTAAATTTTGCTCGATGTGCAAACAGAGAAAGCAAACCTGCGGTGATATTTTCCCGATAAACGTTATATTGATACAATTTAGTATCACAGGATATACGATGCGGTATAAGTTGTGTATCTTGAAACCTTGTCCGTTATTTTGAATATGAATATCCAAGATACTTAAGGATTCTGATGAAATCTATGGTAGATAATGGGTAAAAACGAGAACATGGTGCATTGAGTTCACTTTCTGGGTGTGTTGAATACCTTCGGTCCACCATTGTTAAAACCGTTAGCACTAGGATGAAAACAAAGCCCAGGTCTACGTCACCCGATCCTATTGTTGACCCCTCACCTCTAGGTTTACCTGACAAGTATATTATTGTACCTGTAGATAAGGCACCCGATCGTTGATATTTTTCTGTAACCATTGTTACATTTCCTGTTCACGAAAAGAACTAAGCATTTTTAATAAGAAAACACCATTATACATTATGTAATATTTCCAAAGACGAAATACCGGCTGGTCACCGTTCGTTATTACAATCATTTAGATCGCCTACTAATGATAAGAATACGGACCTCCCCGTTTTATTGCTGGTTTGTCTAAGTGTTCCACCAAAACTTTATCAAAACTATTGACCACCAGTCGTAGTACTATCAAATCAATATAAGTAGGAGTTTATTGCTTGAACGTCTGGCTGTTTTACCAATGTATCAAATAGTCTTACTACCATTCTTGGTATTACCAAATCTAGGTAACAGTCTTATTGTGATACTGTTTACTGACGATATTGTGATACTGTTTACTGACGATATTGTGATACTGTTTACTTAAGATTCTGTGATACTGTTTACTGACAATATTGTGATACTGTTTACTGAAGATATTGTGATACTGTTTACTGAAGACGTGGAATAAACATTACTCCAACAAGCTTTTGACCAATTTTCAACACTCTCTCTTGAAAAAACAAGAAAAGCCCGTCTTCTATATGAACGTTTGATTTTTCGGTATTTTGTATGTGAGTATAAGATGGTACAGCTGAACGGTTATGAATTATATTGTCCAGCATATTTCGTGAATTATAAGTCCAAATCAAAGAAGAAGTTTAAGGAGGACGACGTCTTAAAAACGTGTATGTTGGTAAGATCTTCCACCAAACTATCAGCATACCTTTGGGGACTAAATATACCTCTCTGTTGGCTGCCTTGTTTTTTGTTTTATACAAGACTGAACCTATCGTTTAATTTCCCTTTCATATATAAGGGCCTGTTTTCTTATTATCACGTGTAACTGGCGGATAAACATTCGTTAAAGTACGTTTTACGATGTGCCTTTTCTCACTCAATGTATGTTTACAGCTACAAAAACCTGATAAAGTTTTATTTGAAATAATGATAGAATAAACTCAAATACTATACTGGGGACAATGAAAAGCTCTCTTGTAATCTGAACATGTCTGTGGTTAATCTTTAAGTATAACATTTGTGTTTTACACTGCTGCATTCTAAAACATTTAGTTAACATTTTAGAAATAACACTACAAAGGTGACAATGTTATAAACATGTATAATCAAATGACGTTTCTGATCACATGACAGTCCCGATCATACGACCGCCCTGGTCACGCGCCAGAAAAGACCGGTTTGAAGAGGAGCGTGTCGAGACAACACACAACCGTGACGATAAGGTGAATGATCAGGTACAAAGAAGCCCTTCCAGATGTAGAACGATTTGAAATATAAAAAAGGAAAAAATTGACAGTTTTATGAGTGAAGTATATTTAATGTGATATCATTTGATAGATCAACATGATGTATTTAACAGCACCTTACGACACGAAAGAGCTCGTTACGACTCGATACAGCACCTTACTAGACGAAACAGCGCCTTACTAACCCTACTACAATAAACAGCACCTTTCAACACGAAACAGCACCTTACTACACTAACAGCACCTTACTACACTAACAGCACGTTGCGACACTAACGGCACCTTACTACACGAAACAGCACCTTACTACACGAAATAGCACCTTACTACACTAAACAGCACCTTACTACACTAACAGCACCTTACTACACGAAACAGCACCTTTCTACACGAAACAGCACGTTGCGACACTAACAGCACCTTACTACACGAAACAGCATGTTGCGACACTAACAGCACCTTACTACACGAAACAGCACCTTACTGCACGAAACAGCAATTAACTACACGAAACAGCACCTTTCAACACTAAACAGCACCTTACTACACGAAACAGCACCTTACTACACGAAACAGCAATTAACTACACGAAACAGCACCTTTCAACACTAAACAGCACCTTACTACACGAAACCGCAATTTACTACACGAAACCGCAATTTACTACACGAAACAGCACCTTACTACACTAAACAGCACCTTACTACACGAAACCCCAATTTACTACACGAAACCGCAATTTACTACACGAAACAGCACCTTACTACACTAAACAGCACCTTACTACACGAAACCGCAATTTACTACACGAAACCGCAATTTACTACACGAAACAGCACCTTACTACACTAAACAGCACCTTACTACACGAAACCGCAATTTACTACACGAAACAGCACCTTACTATACTAAACAGCACCTTACTACACTAAACAGCACCTTACTACACTAAACAGCACCTTACTACACGAAACCGCAATTTACTACACGAAACCCCAATTTACTACACGAAACAGCACCTTACTACACTAAACAGCACCTTACTACACGAAACCCCAATTTACTACACGAAACAGCAATTTACTACACGAAACATAACAATAATAATAGCCGCGATACTAAGCTGGTAATGGGTTATCACTTCATCAAGAAACAATTTTTAATAGATAATCGTGTGGCCTTCAGATAATGGAGAGTTTAACATTGGTATCTTACAAAAACAATTTATTGTTAACAAACATACACATGTCGCTACGGTATAGATCTTTTGTAAGTTTTCATCAATGTTATATGTGATTGTATGGTGTAATGCAAAGTGAAGGACTAGATATATGTAACTCCACAAACACTTGAAAGGCTGATGATTCCTGTGAGCTGAATCAGTTTAGAAATAGCTTTACTGATTAATACGTTACACTAACACTGCATGAACGTCTTCACGTGAAACGCCTTCACACGTGACTGAAAACATCCATCCGACAGTGTCAACAAACATAAAGCTGTATAATAGCAGATATCTAGATGATTTAACACTATAGTGCAGATTTACTAAATACCCATATACATAATAATGTAGGTAGAATGATAGGATGTATTAATAGTAGAATGTCTGGCTGGGTGACCGCTGTCGCTTTCCTGTCAGTGTTAGGCGGGTGGTCTGTATTAGGGTTTGCTCCATTTAACCATGAAGTCACTCCAAGTTGTGGCGAGAATGAAAAACTTTGTGAATTCCACTGGCTCATCAACTACACAGAGACAATGGTATGGTACCATGACTATGACGATGACGGCAACCCAATCGTCTACAGAAATGATTCGTTTTATAAACGGCTCGATTGCTCTCTCTATGAAAAGGCAACGAATGAAGGTAAGCGTTACTAATAGATATACTATCTACAGTCTGAAATGCAATCGATGATAGCGATGTGATAGTGGACGATACATTGTTGCAAATTAACAGTATTTTCTACGATACTGAGTTGATGAAATTTGATATGACTATTTCTAAGTCGTCCATTTCTTTTTGTCAATTTTTTTTTCTATTCAGTTTCACGTTGACTCGTATTTACAAAACAATAACACAAACATATATTTGATATGAAATAAACAAAAGTCGACGGAAATGAGAATGCATCTCAACAAAATGTCCTTGGTTACAGATCTACTATACACCCTAACTGGAGATGGTTCCTATAAGATTCTGTACTCGGTTAATGGCAAGTTTCCGGGACCCTCCATTGTTGTATATGAAGGACAGGAGGTGGGTTTGCTTTAAAGGGCATTTGACATAATTTATGGATGTTGAAAGCAATTATAAATGTATATGTATCTAGTAAAAAGTTATATAGCAGAATAATTATAATATTGTTCAGCCTTTTTCTATAAGATATGTAGATACCCCAATGTATTTGGATAAGAATTATTTCATTAGCATTTAATATCTCCAGGCTTTCATGGCGTATTTAAAAAAAATCTTATCCGCATCGTAGAACAGTGACATCGCCTATCAAAGAGCCATACTTAACTAGAATAAGTAAAAGGAGTCGAGATTTAAAAAATTACCCTTAGATGAAAAAATTAAATCATTATTTTTTATCTACCTTTTGCCTATACATCAAAATCTAACAGTACATCTAGATGTCTCATATTTCAGTTATAAACCATAGTGATATAATCTTTGATTTGTAGACAGCCATATCATACGGAAGCACCTAGTGGACAACGTCATGGCAACAGAATAATTATACCTATTTTTTTTCATTTACAATTTACAAATAAATTTTTCATGTGATGTCATATGTAGATGCCTCAAAAATTTTTCTTTTTATTTTGATATAAGTCTTAAGGATGTAAACAAATACTGGTCATTAACACCTGGTTTAAATAATGACGGGACCGTTAACTAGTAGCAATATCGATAGATACATTGTGGAGGATACACAAGTATAGATATTTTATTTTAATGTATGAATGACAGGTGGCAGGTTTATTGTTAAAACGAACATAGAACATAGATAGGCAGCTGAAAAGTATTGTTGTTAAAGCAATAAAATACACGATACCTAACTATTTAATTACAATTACTTATCAATTCTTTCAGACTGTAGAAAATGCGATATATAAGTCCTTTTAAAAGTCACTGTGTCATTAAATTATGGAGTATTAATATCAGATACTACTAGATATGACTTTGCATAGATATAATACTCTATGAAGGTACATGGAAAATGCACGCATAATGTAGGTGCAAATTTTTAACAAGATCTTCAGCTGCGTTTGGCTCCGAACAGCTTACCACGTGATTCGATATCTGTATACTGCACATTAAAATGTTTTGTTTTATTTTATGAATCATTAATGGGACAAGAATAAGTATATCTTATTAAATAATCTTGTACTATACCATCAGGTGGTAGTTCACGTTAAAAATGCCCTTCTCATGGAAGGAGTGACCATCCATTGGCATGGTATCTACCAAAGGGGCACTCCGTGGATGGACGGAGTGAGCATGATTAGCCAGTGTCCTATAAGTCCCGGACAATCATTTACATACAGGTAAGACAATATTTGTGTCGTTTTTAAATTTGATAAATAGTTTCTCAAAGTATGTAAAGGGCACGTTTTCTTTGGCGATAAATATTGGCAATAACAGACATTTCCCATTTAAACTGCAGTCGATTAAAATGTAATCTAACGCTACAATAGAATGTTGTTAATATCCGTTCTTGTATGATAATTCAGTGGTTGTCCTTCATATCTATTATATCCAGTAGTCGGTTGTACTGATGATACGGAAACAGAACTGTTCACCACACAATCTTTGTTAATCTGTATTTGTCAGGTTCATAGCAGAACCATCCGGAACCCACTGGTATCACTCTCACCTGGGAGTTCAAAGGACTGACGGCTTGGCAGGAGCACTTATCGTTCTTCCCAAACTTAAAGAAGCAAAGGTTAATACTGTATGCCGTTATCATTTGAATAGTACTATAATCAATATAGGATTTCAACAACCTGCTACACTATGGTGCGAAACTGCTTTAAATTGATTAGTAATAGAAACATATATAAGAAATTTATCAAAACTGATCACCAGATGCGAGTTCACATATAGAATAATGCTCAAAATGTTGTACTGTGCTAGAGATTAACAACATATATACTTAATTATATATAACAAATATTGCAGACATCGGATACTGAGGAGCACATAGAGAAAGAGTTCGTAGTGCTGACACAGGACTGGTTACATAAATCCTCGTTAGAGTTAACGGAACATTTCATCTGGGACCTCCGCAGGTATGTCTTGTCTTTTATGACGAAACAGAGGATTTATCCATTATAGAAGAAAAACAATGAAGTATATATATATTTGTAATTAATAGATGTATTTAACCTATCGTATTATTACAGTTCAACATTTCATTAGACGCTGTCTGTCCTTGAACAGCATGTCTGTTTATACTCTTCCATTTACCATGATATAACGTTGATGCAATATGGTTTTCTAGGTATGCATTCGGGCCCGACGATCCGCGGTGTTTCTTTGCCTCAGATATACTAAAGAGTGACGGAAGCCTGGCTGGTTTCATGCTGTTTCAGTCCGGAGTCATTAATGGAAGAGGTACATATATATATATATACCTTTATGGAATAGATTTCCTTTGGTTTGTGTAATAACATACAACACAAATCACTTCTCTACCCAGTTATCAGTATAATAACACCAATAAACTACCCTGTTATCAGTATAATAACACCAATAAACTACCCTGTTATCTGTATAATAACACCAATAAACTACTCTGTTATCAGTATAATAACACCAATAAACTACCCTGTTATCAGTATAATAACACCAATAAACTACTCTGTTATCAGTATAATAACACCAATAAACTGCCCTGTTATCAGTATAATAACACCAATAAACTACCCTGTTATCTGTATAATTACACCAATAAACTACCCTGTTATCTGTATAATAACACCAATAAACTGCCCTGTTATCAGTATAATAACACCTATAAACTACCCTGTTATAAGTATAATAACACCAATAAACTGCCCTGTTATCAGTATAATAACACCAATAAACTACCCTGTTATCAGTATAATAACACCAATAAACTACCCTGTTATCAGTATAATAACACCAATAAACTACCCTGTTATCAGTTTAATAACACCAATAAACTGCCCTGTTATCTGTGTGATTATATTGATAATAGGGTAGTGAATTGATGGATGTTATTACACTGATAACAGTGTAGTTATGTGATAGGAGGTATATCACATGATATGGTTTTCAGTATAACAAAACCCATATCGTAATTAAAGTATTATTAGTGTTATAACACTTATCACACGACTAATCTGTTGTTATAGCATATACCTAAAAACTACCATGTCGTCCGTCTAATATCTACCCCTACATGGAGTTTATAATTTATAAAACTGTTCAGATGAAATCATGTCTCACGCAGTGGACTGTCCGACATTTTGTCAGAAGTATAGCCTCATTATGTTATACTTTAGGTTGTTTCTGACACCGATTGACCCGATTTCATATGCTTTGTTTTCATCTAAGGGCATAATTACCCTGAGTTTGGCGATACCCCGATGTACCCCGATTTACCTTACGAAACCTTTGTGGTCAAGAGTAATAAAACATACCGGTTCCGATTAATCAACTCTGGTAATGGGTTTGCACTACAGATCTCCGTGGACAAGGTAGGAAGTGACACACTCAGTCGTGAATTAGCCAAATATTAACTTCTCAATACTATCGACTGTAAAATTTAACATGTTCGTGGGACTTGAAATTCATTTTGTTTTTGTTTTTTTCTTTGTTTACTTTTAATTATCTTACAGACATTGGATTTCGCAGGATAAGGTTATATATGCGATTAAGAATTCCTAAATGAAAATTGATAATTGTAATATTTTTTTTCACTTGTTAAGAATGACAAATTTAAATACCTTAATATAATAATGTAAAATGAAAAGAAAAATGATGCCAACATTCTGATATGATTAGTACCCATAACCAAAATTAATTGAAAAAGGGCGGACAGTAAGCGTCCTTTGCTTCATCGACCATTTAAAACCAACAGACAAACTAACGAGCATCTAGAACGAGCATCTAGCATGCCTTTTTTGAGTTTAATCGCCGATTGGTGAAAATTGTAATGGATATGGCCATTAAATATGACTTCATATTGTTTTGTCATGGAAAAAAGTCACTTTGGAATTTGTAAAAGCTGATGATCGATTACCATAAGAAAAAACCGACATATCTGCAGTTTCCTTGTTTATCGAAATTCAACTTCTTGGTAACAGTAAATGATGAAGTAGAATTTTAAACATGAAGTATTCTAGTCGATTTACTGGATATATATAGATATACAAGATGAAACACTATATGGTGATTTAAGACGTTATACATTTCTATATTATCAACTTTATCCAGCATAAGCTAGAGTTGATAGCGATAGACGGTCGAGGCGTACGAAGGGTAGAGTTGGACGCTATCACCACCGTACCAGGGGAGAGAATAGACTTTCTACTGCGCACGACACAAACCCCTGATAACTACTGGTTCCGGGTGGAGGTATATTTCGTCTTATATTTTAGCTTTCAAAACAGGAAACAATACGAAACCTACGTTATAATTGCATTTGAATATTTGATTATACTCTAAATAGACAAATACTACAAACGACTCCCACCACGTGACCGTAACGGCGTGATTATTGTTGGCATAAATGACCCTTTCACCTGATGTATAACACTGTCCGTATGCATATCTTTGTTTAACTTTAAATCTAGTGTAAAACTTAATAAGACAACAACATTGTTTGTTTGGTTAACATCCTATAATAACTTCGGTTTTTTAGTGACGGCCTCCCGTTGTGTATGCGAGCTTAGTTTATGTGTTGAATTTTGTGTATTTGAGGACTGCGGTATGTTCATGTAAGTGAGTCTATAGTGCTAACACACTGAACTATATACTGCCGAAGTGAAGTATTCCGCCGTAGGCTTCTAAAACGACAGCCAATCCGGTCACATCATACTGACAACTGGTGAACCAGTCGTTACACTAACTGATGAACGAGAAACAGGTTGTAGTAGTTCTGGTATGTGTTGGCCAGAGGACGGAATACAAAGTCACAGGGACGAACGCTCGACCTAAGGTCAAAAGTGTTGCAGTGTTAAAGGGAATATTATTAAGAATAAGACGGTACTGAGAAAAGAGAGGAAATATCTTCCGAGTTTACTAATACACTCCATAGGGTCAGTAGGGTCATTTCTTACGTCTTACTAACAGGACAAAGACAGTAACATGTACGGAGAGTTTTAAACGCTCTTGTGTCTTTTGTGGCTATAGATATCATAACTAAACAGTTCAATTATACTTAAATATATTATTTCAGTGATAAATATCATGTTTTATTTTCTGGGTTCTTTAAGTGATCTGATTTTGTTTTTTTCCCATTCTTATCATCCTAGGCTAATGGAGCCGGCCAAGTGAAGGGTATTGTCCGCTACGAATCTGTAGCAGAAGGAGTGCCTGTCTCCTCAAGGAAGCGATGTGTTGAGACGGATCCCTGTACAGACATCAACTGCATGGTACAGTAAGTATACGAGGGATTGCTCACCATCTCTGGTATAAAGACAAGACGGTTACGATTTGAGATAATTACTTACTTGAATTGATAAAGATTTACTTGGCGGTTGTCCCCTGACGAAGCCGAAGATTCTAGCCGTCAGGAACACCTATTTTTATTCCCCTTGCCCACTCTCGCGAGTCTCTATGTAAATCTCTATTTGGTTCATATTTTCCTTTAATTTCATCGAATTTGAGTTTGAATTAAATTATGTTTTTTCATTTTTTATTTATTTATTATTGTAATTATTATTGTCGTAAGGCGATTATCAAGTATAATATGTTTGTTGTTTGCTACGTGTATGAAGTATTGTCACCTTATAGAATATGTATGTTGTAGTCTGTTATTGTGTGTTACAATAACGCCTACTTTATCAAATTCTTGTGTATTGTTGAGGTTATATACTTTCCGTTCACTTCGAATTTATCAAATAACGAACAAAAAATATTCACATGTAGATACAATATATCATCGCCTGGTAAATCCTGAATCAAAAGTTCCACATTCTCAAAAAAATGAAAAGGTGCTATTACGAAAGAATCAGCCACATTTACGAAGATCCAACACATTAAATCTAACAACGTACTGGTTAATTAAATATTTACCGATGGGGCCATGGCGACGACTACAAAACATTCGCATAATCTCCATAAACCTGCATCTCTCCCCACCTGTTGTAACTCCCATCTCAACTGCCGACCCATTTGTTTCCAAGCCTTGGATTTATAATCAACTTCCACACGACAACACAATAGGTAGAGGAAACAGTTTGGCAGTATACTTAGGAGTTGGCCACCATTTTTGCTGATATCCCGAGAGCGGTAACATGACCCAAAAAGTATCCAGTACGTCGTAATATCGGCGTGCCCTACCGAAAAAGATTTAATTTAAATTAAATCCCACGATAGAGGGGAGGTAACTCGTCTTTTATGTACAACAGCTAGATGTGATCAGTATGTAATGTGTCTCATATGCATTCATTTGTCCACACAAGGGAGATAACTTCTATAGGCGTTCACCTGTTGCCAAATACCCATTGTCTTCTTAATATAAAATCTTTCTAAAATGAAACTCATTTCTGAATTTTGGACTCCTTAACTCAGTTTGCCTTAGAAGAATTATACAGTGTTTTATGGACTTACGATTTTGTGTTTTGTTTTTTTAAGTGAGTACCCACCTACCTACCATCTAAACTGCACATCCATTGGAGAGCTTCAGTTGTCCAGTCATGAACGTGACGAGCGCGTTGTCCCTAAATACACGGAGGACGGGACATTCAAGGAGATATTTCTTAGTGTACATTTCCAAAGTAATTATCCTCATGTATGATAAGACTCAGCGAAATAACGAAAGTAACATGATAACGATTATCTCCCTTCCTCCACTCCTCCAACACATAACTCGATATCAGCAGTAGAATTGCTTTGCTATCAAATACCTTCCTAAGTTAACGATTTCTTCACGACTGGCATTATCTTCTGTCATTCCATCAGTGTTTTAAGTTTCATTACGTCGGCCAAAAACTCCTTGACGAGAATAGATAACACATTGTCGTGGAACTGTTTGACAAGCTTCATGATAATTTATAAGGCATATACCTAAATATGCGTTTGATACTTTTTGTAGCTGAAACAGATTTCGCTCACATAAATGGAAAGAGTTTTTTAAAGCCAACCAGCGCTTTACATGTGAGTATCTATGGGTACTAATATAGAGTGTTGTTACGTTATATAAATTGAACATTTTATTCAAAGTAAACAGTTCGTAAGACATGGAACTAACAGGCCGCTAAATCATTCCTGATAGTAATATAACATTTTAATGGCTTCCGGAAAAAAACACTGTGCTGCCATGTGTTGTTCTAACATATGACTAAGACAAAAAAAACATGCACACTTGTACTTTTTAAGTCGGTTGAGAGTGTGTTTTGCTAGAATGAATGGACATTAATTTACGTCCTACATTGATATATAATTTGTTACAGACTTTCCCTAATATGGCTGACGCTGTGGTGAATTGTAACAGCACTGACCTCCGCTGTTATAAGGGAGTCTGCTTTTGTACACAAATCATCAAAGTTGATCTCGGTAGTACGGTCCAGTTCGTTATGGTCAGCCCAGGTATGTACTCTCTTTACTCGCTATATATGCACGTGCCTTGAATTTGTAAATGAAAAGAAAATAGTAGTTTTGCATTGAATGCACGCTCTCAGTTTGGCAATACCTGTTTTAAGTATTGATAGCAAAACAATATGTTTAGAAATCCCTATTAAACATTCTAGATTGTGATATTAATGAAGGGATTAATTATCTGTTTATCAGGTCCTTTGGTTGACATGGTAGAACTTGGGTTGCAGCACCCAATGCACTTACACGGTCACACATTCCACGTGCTCAAGGTCGCCTACTCAAAGTATAATGCTTCCGGAATATCTGTTGGTCTTAACGAGGATATCCATTGTGATTCTGTGTTTTGTGACAATGCCTCGTGGTCAAACGACACCTGGGGTGGAGACAACATTCCTGGTCTGAATTTGGTGGATCCCCCAATAAAGGACTCGGTGTTAGTACCTAGGCACGGCTACACAGTAACCAGGATGACTGCCAACAACCCGGGTAGGTTAGACCAATAAAGTACGTATTTAAAATTTCTTTATGAAGTGACCACTACTGAATAGAACCTGAAAAATCATGTTTTGATTATTTGCAATGTACATGTTAAGACTGATCACATTTAAACATTGAACCTTGATATGTTGCGGGACGTGTTGATGAAATATTCCAGTAGATTAAATATTTATCCATACACTGCACTTCAAACCAAAGTAACGCTGTTGTTTTATATCAGAAATCTATTCGCCGTATCATGGATTTTCCAAAGAATGTTTACCTCTTAATCATCCTAAGTCTGGTTTACATATTTTGTTTAACACGTCGTCATGGATATTATCACAACATCCGTACAAGTACTAATACGAACTACTTCTGTTTCAGGTTTCTGGTTCCTACATTGTCACATAGAGATACACCAAATCACAGGAATGGCTCTCATACTCCAAGTCGGAGACGTGGACCAGATGCCACCAACTCCCAAAAACTTCCCCACGTGTGGTAATTTCAACTTCCCGCAAGAGGAATTTGAAGAATTTATCAATGGTACGTTATATTGTACAGAAAGCCCTAATTTGTCCTCAGCCCTCTCTCCCTCACATGTATCATTACATATGTGTTTATTGTTTTCTGGTCCTCTAAATGTCATAATGTACAGCTCTCTGAACTACACGTAGTTATAACTAAGATATTTTAGGATGAGATTTTTCTTACTAAGTTATCGATGAAAACAAGTTTTCCTACTCGCGTTGTACGTAGACATTAATGTAGTAATTATGCTACAATATTACTTCGTTATCAATGCAAATATATCGTTTATCATTTACATACAATCATTGAGATGAAGACGAAAACGTTAAATTTGTATTGACTGTTTCAGTGGAGACGGGTTTGCCAGAAAACTCTGCCCCAGAGGACAAATTGCAGCTCAACTCCGGACTATCAGTTCCTGATGTTACGGGAAAACATTTATCGACCTGGTATGAGGTCCAGAGTTTCAAAACTAGGGAAACCCTGTACATCATCTCTATATGTATACTGGGCGCGGTTCTCATCGTCATGATATTGACCATATGTTGTCGGCGTTTAGACAAACAAACGTGTCTTGCTTTTGATTCGGGTTATAAGTATTTGATGTTTACAGCCTCTCACGGTTATACAGGGAAGGTCCCAAATGATTGCGATTATCAGACATTTAATACGATGTAATTAATGTTTGTTGACATAAATCGAGACAATATCAAGGCCAAGCACTTTAAGGACCACATTATCAATGACACTTTGTATTCAATTGAATATACTTATATATTTCAGACGTCAGGGGAATCTTAAACATACAAAAATCATTGATATTGAGAATAAAATTGTTTATTCAATGCATTTAAGTTTTTAATAAAGTTATATATCACGCTGTTGATAAACGTTCTTTGTTATGTCGAAGGGAAATCTCATTTGGAATGCATATGAGTCAAGTTATCTTGTTGAATTAAGCTTTGATACAGTCAACTTCACAATGCAATTGAGGTGATTTGGTTCTCAAACCCTGCGGGAGTGACGAGCGATAGGCGAGCAGAAGGGAGTAAAACCACCCCGCGATCCCGCTCGAGTGGCAAAAGGGGTTTCAGGAATCTTAGGTCAACATTAGACTCGTTAGTCTGAATAACATCCAAAATGAAAAGCAATCTATACTTCTGTGCTATAGCTGTCTTCCCCGACTTCGAAAAAGGTTACGACCTTATTTAGCACGAGGGTCTAATACTATCACTTAACGCAGTAGGAATAACCGGAAACATGTTAAGATTCACCATCCACTTCCTAAAGTTAAGTTAAGTTAATAATGGACGCAGGCAAAACAATGCCTCTATGTCCATATCTACGTTCGTAAAGTTCAGTCAGATGAACTTACACTAGACAATGGTGCCCCCTAAGGTACTGTTTTAACACCAACAATTTTCATTAATTTTATCAATAAATTAGACCTCAATTTAAAAGAAAAAAGTAAAAAGATAAAAATAGCTTACATAGTTCAGTTTGTGGATGACGTCAGCATTCGGCACTTTAGACGTTTTCCAGGAATGGACTGACCAATGGGGGCTTAAAATTTCAAAAGAAAAAAACAGTAGCCATGTCCTTTTCGAGAAAAGAAAAATGTCCAGAATTATACCTAGATGAAAATGAAATTAAGTTTGTGAAAGAAACACGATACTTAGGTATGATGTTTGATAAAAAAAAATCAACACGGAATTCACACATCAAAAATATAAAAGAACGCTGTATAAATGCACTTTACACATTAAGATACGTCTCCAGAAATAAACTGTGTACAAACAAATTGACTATGGCTGTTAGGTTTACCATTCTGCTTCTGAGAATGCATTAAAAAGGTTCGAAATAGCTTCAGAAACTTTAAAAAAACACCGCACCAATAAGCATTTAAGCTGAATCCGGTAAACTGCCATTAAGATTAAAGAGTGAAAAGCTCATAATTCAATATTGAGCCAGAACATAAACACTAGGACAAAAAATCAAAAACCAGAAAACACATTAAATACAGAAACAAACTAAAACAACAGGCCAAACAGCCATATAACTTTTTAAGAAATAATCTTCTCGTCGAGCACAACTTTCACCAAATTATAATTAGGTATTTTTTCCAAATCCAACACCGCCCTGGAAATTAGACTCTCCCGATATTAGAAAAAAATTTTTTAGACAAAACCAAAAACAGGAAAAGCCAGCAGAAACTAGGGCAAAAGCATTATCCATAATTGACGAGAAATATAATGATCGAACCAAATATTATACTGACGGATCAAAAATCCACAAACTAACAGAGTAGGGTTAGATATTTATTCCGGAGAATACAACACTGTATTATCACTCAGACTGACAGATCAGGGCTCCGTTTATTCCAGTGAAATCATTGCTATAGAATTAGCACTTAGACTTATTAACATCAAAAAGTCCACAAATAGAGCAGTAATTCTTACAGATAGTCTTTCTTCATTTCAATCAATACAGACCAGAAAAAGAGGTAATGCATTTAACTCAATATTGAATCTAGTTATAAACTGAAAACAACACGGACATTTGGTAAATTATGAGTATGTATCATCACATGTCGATATACCGGGTAATAAAAAGCTGACAATCTAGCCAAAAATAACTCTTCAGAAGAACACAATAGAATGTAAGGTGAAATTATCTCAGACAGAAGTACATTCTAGTACCAATCAATAATAAATGGTCAGAAAAATGGAAAAGTTTGGAAAGATCATTCAACCCAAGGTAAATTATAGATAAACCAAATACTAAATCTAAAACTTTAGGACGAAATAAATTAGAAGATATTACCATCATAAGGCTAAAATTAAGAACCACAAAATTAAAAAGTAACATCATTATAATGGTTAAAGATATCTCACCTGACTGTACGCATTGTGAAACAGAACAGACAATAGATCATATATTAATCTTTATTGCAATAGATTCTATCAGGAAAGAAAACATCTCACTCTTTAAAAGAATAAAAATCCGATATGCATCCATCAACCAGGTTTTAATGTCACGTGAAAATGAAAGACTAGTGCATAGAATGCTCATTGAATTCCTAAGAATAAATATAAAAGATAAACAGAAAGGTCGAAGGGAGACAACTCCCAAACATCATAAACATACAGAACAGCACACACAACAGGTAGGATCCCCAGGATACACAGGGAGACCGTACTAGAGAGGATTACTACTGCCCCTCTCATTCATTGGTGCATACGGACACCTCATGAGGTATGTGGTGTCCTCCTCTGTGCCCCACCCCCAGCATTCACATTCGTGAAATAATCTGAAACTGTACAAATAAATAAAGCAACGCAAACCAGTAAACACGCTACTTCAAGTATTTGTTTAAACAAACGACTAAAAAAGGAAGAAAAATGCACAAACAAACTCCACATTTAAGACCTGAAGTCCGGTATAAATTAGACATAAAGGAAACCTCTGGGTAAAACTCTCTCGGACTGGTTTGCAGTCGGATTCGGGTCTTGTACCCTGGCTTGTAGCATATGGAACTCTGGTAGGAAGGGCAATTGGGATATACAGTTCTCGATAGTTATTATACAGAGCTGTTTATTCAACACTGGTTATAGGGTCTAAAACTCGAAATTTAAAAGATAACACAATTAAACTCAACATACAACCATATATAGTTCACATAAGATAACTATCCCTCTTTATCAAACTCAAATGTAACAAGTTAAAATTAACACCGTACTCCTATTAAACACCTAATCTAAAACACAATCCAGCCACCCTACCCATACATACCCTAAGTATCTCTCTGTCTCCAAAATCTTAAATCTATCTAAGATAAATTCAGACTATCATAATACTTTCTACTTCAACGCAACTTATCAGTACATTCAAAGAAATGACACAAATTCGGAATAGGAAACAGTGTATGCGGAAGGAATGAAGTGGAATCACAGAAAAAGCAAGATACAGTTGTAAAGAGATAAAGTAGCTTAAACAATATGATTGGAAAGGTTTTCAAGATGGAACAACAACAAAAAAACAAGTGTTCATTATAAATCCATCTGCACCGAACCGACCACTACCTATAGTCCGACGGATGGGACTTTAAACGGTGGCCCGTGTGAGAATTGCCCACTCTTGCACGTTAAAGATCCTCCTGTGACTTTTCGTAAAAAGAGTAGGCGTGGTAACGCCGGTCAAGGGGTCTTGGAATGGTGTCAGACTTTATAATTATCTTAAAGAAATTAGACGGATTTCACAATTATCCTAACACTAAACAAAACTAGACAGACCCCAACTCTTCATTTTAGCTTTTGGACGCTTTTCAACTGCTAGAGTTAGGATAAGACACTTATCCATAAACGACACCGCTATAGACGGTTCCATTCCATTGAGAGGGATGCAGGTCGCAATGCTAGGATGGATATTCTGAAAACGAGTTAGATCAGTCCGTTTCAATAAGCGCTCTTTCCAGTTACATTCCGAAGTTTTTGTTATTGCATCCTTAACTATATATTTCCAAGCGATTTTGCTGGGGAAACATCCATATTTAATAAAACTGTTCACAAACTTATCAAGGTCGTATTTATACATTGTGATGATAAGCGACCGAAAGATTTCCGTGCATTCTGCCAATCCAAATATTAAAAACATACCGATGTTAAAATTGAACAACTTGTTATGTATTTTGAGTGTATCAGCCACACAGAGTCTTCCAATGAACAATAATCGCTGTTTATATATGAAGTGTGACAGTCTACAAATGGCCAAGAGTTTAAATGGTGCTATCTGATAGTGAATTTTTATCAAATTCTTGCAGAATTCGACCGTTGTGTAATCTCGCTCATTTCTTCCCACACCTTTCACCCGTACATCCTCGTAGGTAAAATAACGCGTTCCCAGATTACGGAAGATGCTATTGGTGTAATATCCCCAAATCGAAGACCGACATCCCTAAGTGCATAAAAATTATTTCTGTCAAAAGCTTTCTCGCTATGGAGGAAAGCAATTTAAAGCGATGATTTCCTTTCAGTGAAAAAGACACCATCTCTTTCTACGTAAAAAAAACAGCTGGAATAGCACCCATCTCTTTCTTAAACCCGAACTGCAGAGGATGTGGAAAACTGACGTTGCTATGGGTCACTGTTTCTCCATCCTTTTCAGCAACACCTTTTCAAATGACTTTCCAATATTTGACGTCCATGTTATGCTTCTGTAGCTTGCAGAGTCAGAGGAATTTTTATTTCCTCCTTTAAAAATCGGGATAACTATTCTTTTCTGAAATGAATGTGGAACGTATTCTGTTGACATGATCAAGTTGAAAATAGCACATAGTGATTTGACAAGGTTTCTACCACCATACTTCAAGTTCTCATTACAAATACCATCAGATCCAAGTGGCTTTCTCTGTTTTCAGTTTTCGTATTTGAAATTGTAGTTCCTTTCCTGTTATTCCGTCCTCTAGAATATGTTTCATATGGGAGGGTGAAGGTGATAGTAGGAGCTCTTGATATTTTTTCTTCGATTACAGTTTTAAACTGCGTGTCGTACAAATTATTTGCATCCGGACACAACAATTCGTCATTATACTTCGCCCATAAATCACACTTTCTTCGGTCATCCGTAGCAACAGTATCTTGACAGAGGAGTGGCTTTTCCGTAGGAGTTACATTGACCATATACTGCAAGTAATTCGTATACACTTTCAAAGTACTGACTGTCAGTTCTGTTGCTGAATGGAAGCAGTGCTGCGATCACAAATATATGCTCAACATTTTTCCCAACTAAACAAATAGCTGTTATACAGTCCATGCTGTCAGTATCGACTAGACGAATTGTGGTAAATTTTGATCTCCCGAATAGAATTGCTATTCCTCCAGACCCATGCAATGATACATTATCCCGTTTTACAGTGCAAGTAACCCGAAAGTCTTTATCAATGTGTTCCAAGACCCCAAAATTAGTTATCTTAAGCCAGTGTTCACATATTACACAAATGTACTGTTTAAATGGTTAGCAAAGAGAGATGTTCCGTGTTTTTCCATTGCATTCCATGTAAAAAATTAACATGGCTGGAAGGAGTGCAGGTATGACGAACAAATAAAATGTATGTTTGATGATCATCTTCA